CAACTACCTAGTATATAAACTAGTATATAAACTATCTCACAGTCGTCACGAGATGTTGCAAGGCCGCAGAAATTACTTTACGGTGTAACTGCATGGAACGCGCAATCAGACTAACGATTATAAAAGCATCTAAGGCTGAAATTTGCGTGCGTGCCGAATTTTTATTACAGTTGCACTTGAATCTAGAGAACGCAATCGTTTGCATGCATTATATACAAAAATTGCCATATGATCAGTTATCCAATTGACTAAAACTGTTAGCTAACTTTCTATCTATTCATATATGAACCAAGTGGCAAGTGTAGTCTTGTCACCAGTCATTATTGTAAACAGGTCTAATGAAGAACAACAATCAGCGAGAAGTAAATTGGCTTAAGCACAGCCTCCTCTATACTGAAAAAGACTGGCAGATCGCCACAAAACGCGGCCGCCGAAATCGAAAAGTAGAGCGGCAAACAACGGAGAGGAGAGCCAGGTGACGGGCGCCCCGCTGCGGCAAGACGCCGAAACACACTTCCCCCAAGCGATGGAATGTCCGCTCGTGCTCCTCGCGTTCCTCGCACTACCGCTTCTTTTCTCGTCGGGGTTGAAAACCATGTCTCTTGTCCTCGCCGCAGCAAAAGCTGTGCGCAGACGACCAGGCTCCCAGAGAAATTCTCTGTGCTACCAGATCCTCGCGCTCCAAATCTGCGACCAGGCACTCTATGACTCTGTCGTCGAACTGCCAGGCTTTGCGAGTATAGAGGAGGCTATGCTTTGAGACGTTCATAATTCAGTTCTTGTGTCGTTTGTCCAGTGGTATACTTGGTTAGTGCCGAACGTTCACATTCGCGTTGCACGGCGCCTTCGCTAGTTCGCTGTCCCCACTAAAACAATCATGGGCAGTAAAAGTCTCAAGGTCCTCCCTTTTTTCGTTTTAGGCGTGTTTGGTTCAGCCGTAATAGCGAAACCCAGGAAGACGACGCCGAGCGCCGTGACAAGACACTTTATTGGCGCTGCTTGAATGGTTCGATCGGATCTTAGGACCGGTTGCGCTCGGGTCTTACCGTGAAACCGAGTTATAATTTCAAACCTGAACGCAAAAGCAGGGACGTGTGCCCTCTCTGGCCACATCAATGTTTGTTTGTTTTTCTTTTTTATGTACCCGACCGTAGCGATCACCCCTTCGTAACCTCGACTGACATGCAATCTGCTCCCTCGGCAACGTCACGCTGCCGGGATAGCAACGAGCGTGGGTAATGGTTCTAGGCATCATCAGGCCGAATATGGGCCGCCGGTTCAGCGTGTAAAATCGTGATCATACAAAAAAAAAAGGGGAAAAAAAAGTGGGAAAACAAAGGGTTTATGAATATCGCAAAAACGGTAGCGATATTGCTACATCTTTCAATTATTTCTCGCTCGCTAACTACTGCCTTCAAAAGTTCAATAGCTGACATTTCAGTTTGGCTCCGAAAAACAATATTGCTAAAAAAAAAAAAAAAAAGAAAACAACATCATACACAGTTTTTGTGTGGAATCGCAATGCATTAGTTAACATTGTTTTGGCATTGGGCAGGAAATCGAACTGTAGGGGGCAATTTACCGAGGTTATTGTCCCCACAGCCCAATGTTTACGAGATTTAACCTCGCCTAGCACGGTCTTGGCACGAGTGCGTCGCTTTGACTAGTGCTTTAGTCGCACAAGGGCAGCGTCATCTACGATTTCTTTGATCAAAAACAAACAAGAAAATTCGGCTTGTTGTACCCGCACCCAAAGCGTACCGTTAGAGGCGCGGCTGTTCAATTTCCTCCCCAATAGTTTTCTCTGTATGTGCCAACATACTGTGGCCGACTTGTTCTGGTGCACGAAATAAACAAAGCAATCTTATTTTTGCATTATTCCGACACTGAAACAGTTACGTAGACTGACGCACTTGATCACAAAGGTATTCCTGCGTAATGCACTGGACGTAGCTAGAATATCGAACGTGTTCTGCAAGATCCGCTGCATGCTAATACAATACCAAGGCCTATTATATCTAACAAATCAATACGCTAAAAAAGTACTAGAATATTTCTTTTTAAAAGTAGCTTCGCATAAATTCATACGGATTCCTGTCGTCTACGTATCTTCTAACACGCTGCAAAGCAATACTTGGTCCCAGCGCTCAATGCAAAACGTCCCCAACAAAACGTTTTATGATTAAAGGCGACAAGAGTCGACCACCAATGGCATTTATGCTCCACGAAAGTTTCCGAGGTAAAAAACAAGTATCGAACTGCAGAGGCTCGCCGCCCGCTACAGGCTGGTTCAAACAGCTATTATGGAGGCACCATCACAGCCCAACTTTATTATCTGCAGTAACGCACTGAACTTCTATACGACACTCGCTTTGTTACAAGAATAGTCAATGGCTCTTCTCATTTCTCTATCTACGCAGGCAGGCGACGCCCAGTAAACATATCGTGCGACTATCGTTAAAATTTTACGACGCTGACGAACCACAAAAAACCTTTGTTTTTTGTGGTTCGGTTTTGGAACCCAGATGAAATCTGTACCTCTTCCTGACACAAAAACGTATTACACAGAGCAGTTACTTACGCCTTCGTACGTCCATTGGAGGCCATTTCAGGCAACGCACGAAAGAGGGACTTGTCTGCCGCCTTTTCCCTCCTCGACTGACGCTCTTATCAGAGCTATGATAACGCAAAAGCAAAGTCCGCGGCAGCCAACGTTACTCCGTCAACTGTTGCAGACACCGTGGTTGCCCGGAACTCTCGCGAATAAAGGAAACCCTTCTCCTCCCATTGATAACCATCAGTCGTTCGCAGCGCCATCCAAAGTCTGTGATTCAAAACTGTAATCCTGGGAGACGCTAGAGTACCCAGGCGGCGTAGCCAGAGTTTCGCCTTTCTTCTCCTTTCGCCACCAACTCCTCGTTGGCGGGAAAGGGGTCACATGTGCCAAATGTGACTGCTCGCTTGGGGGGAAGCCTTCTTGAGTAGCGCCGTGTTTGGGGCGGAGCATAGGTTTCGCTTTGCGCTCGCGAAATTTAGAACTTGCACAGAAGTATGACGACGAGCAGGAAGTTTCTTAAATCTTTGGACATTGTGTGTGCCACCTAGATATCTGTAATTATGATATTTTTATAACGCGAGCGCAGTTTGCAAGCGTCCGTGAGCAAGCAGACGACACGAGAACCACGACGACCAGGCCAGGGCACGCGCGCTTTCGTAAAATCCGAGATGCGCACGACGGTGGATTGGCGGTGAACCGCGCCTCATGGCGTCGCGCCCGTCGCGTCCCCTGCAAGAGCGAAGTTCGCTTCACCCGCAGTACTTTAAAGTAAAAAAAAGTAGAAAAAAATCGAGACCGTTGCGATAGTCTGCTCCACAAGCGGAGCATATAGAGTTACTTCAGGAGACGTTACGCTGAAGCGCCATCAAGAAGCTGAGATTCAAAACCTTGATTTCTTATAGAGTAGACTGGAGTTACCATAGCAGCCGTCCCCAAGAGGGTGGCGCGTCAAACGATGGGAGGCAAACTTGGGGGGAGAGGGAGGTACTGCTAGCAGAAGCCGCGTTCATGAGCTGTGCCGTAACTGCCTTGATGTAGGTACCCTGGCTGATCGCACCAGCGTACGAACGAAGGTCCCAATCAAAGTTGAGTATACGTGAGAACCAATATAATATACCCTGCGGCTACGCAGAAAATGAGCAATCGCCAAACGTTTTCTTTTAGCTTTGAGAATTTAGGCAGTCTTGTGAGGTTAAAGCCACCCTTGAGTGTGTAAATTAGTTTGTGGCATTTGTTTCCTTTTTGGTTTGTTTCATGGCTGATTGTGCAATGGCATTAAGGATTATTGAAAATGTACGGTTTCCCTGGAACTACATCATGCCTCCTTACTACGACCCGAGTTAATACGGACATCCCCGATAGAAGACAGAGTTATGGGGACCAACTAGGTGAATACATGCACTTTTGGCTCGGTATTATGGAAAACTCGCATTGTGGGTGCTTTTGGGGGGTGACCGGACGTGCCCACATTAATGAGATATCAGTTGTTATTTCTTTCTTTAATTTTATCAGGCTCGGATTGCCTAATAGCGTGGACATTACCGCGAAAACACCTCTTCAAGAGAACAAAAATAAAAAAATTGAAGACAAAAACAACCACCGACGTCAAACTAAAACTCGTAAATACTTATCTGACTTTTCACGAGTTTATAGACCAACACGCGGCTCTGACGTCACGCCTCTGCAGTGGCGCTGTTGTCGCCACGGCGCATGCGCAGAGCTTCACCTCACGTGAATCTGGTTTCTGGGCTCGCGCAGTGCCCACATCTGGTGTTGGCAAGCGTGGGTTTGTTTGGAAACAGAGTGTGGGTCTATACGCGATTCCTCTCGTGAAAAGGGTTAATAAAATTGTGTATTGTTACTATTACTTAAATATCGCATTTTTAAATAAAATGTATGTATTCATGCACCCAATAATATGCTTTTTAATTTGTAGCGTAATCTAAACAACCGCATTTATTGCTTATCTAGGAATCGTTTTCTTTTCTTTTCACTTTTTTTTTTTTTAGAATGCAACCCAGCATTTTTATTTGACTTGTCCTTTTAGCCCGAACGTTTGGACAAGCTCGGTCTAGAATACAACATATGTCCGTTTTTTGCTTTAAAAACTAATTTAGTTTCTATTTACCTGATCAAACTTAATATTACATCGCCAACCTATGTGCGGACGAAATTAGCGTCCGCTCCGACCACAAGCCAAGTCGTCCAGCCTGCAGTGCAGGCTTGGTCCGTGGTGGTCCTGTGCGTCCTCTCCCGTCGTATTTCATACCTTTGGCCGTGGTCCGTGCTCGCTGGTGCCAGAAGCCAATGGCATGTGCTTTCCACGTGAACCGTGGTTGTTGACGAGGAACCCCCCGTCAGCGTAATGTAGCCGAATTCATCACAAAACTACTACTTTCACGCGAGCGCATCAAAAGACAGACGAAAGCACTGAGAACTCTTCACAACTTTATTTTGTCAAGTTTTTCTGCAAGAAAAAAATTGCGGTGCCTCTAAAGAAATCAAATCATCGCTAGATATTTCAAGAACTTGAAAACACCCTTCTTATCGACAATTTTCCTTGCCTAACATCGCACAGTGCAGTCTCTTCCGGCCGGCGATCATTGACTGGATCCCACCGAATCCGGATTACGAAGTTTTTTGACGAGGGCGGTGAGGGGCCGTTCCAGGTTCTCGATTCTTTCTTGCAGCCCCTTCAAACAAATTGGCAAATGTGAATCATCAGTACCACGCACTTATACTCTCAGAACAGAACGGAAGGGCGCGGGTGAGCTGGTGTAATACTCAACATTTTGAGGCAACCCGAGACTGAGGAAAGACGAAAGTTGACACCGAGAGAAGTAGAAATACTATACAACCGCTATTTTTCGAAAAGCGTGACCAATCGCTACTGCTGCGAAAATTAAACAACAACAAAGAGAAAGGTTGATGTCGTATTGGTGTCTACCAAATTGCCTTTTCAGGAAAACGAATAACGTTCGGTGCAGTAAGGTTGTCATTACGTTGAAGTAATAAACCTTTTATCAGTAAATTTAAAATTAGTTATTGAATTAGAAACTTTGTGGGCACCATCAGAAACAACTAACGGCTAATTATATAGAGCGAATAACGACACGAATTTCGCCGGGCCGCGTTTGCTCGCATATGGTTCGGAATAGTGTCTGTCGCGTCGCGCGCTAAGCGAACGCTCCGCCAGGCGAAGTTTGTCGGTTCTTTGCCGCATAATCGCTCCAGGACCATACGGAATGAAAATTATTTTACAGCGTTCGGAAAAACACTCAATTTGGAAGCATTCAAGTGTTCGTTTTTTTTTTTAATAATTTTATTAAGACACTTGGACAGCGGTCTTGGTCCGCCATGGCCAAAGCGCGCAACCTACCTGTCCGAAACGCATTATTCCAATAATGCAGGTGAACCTAAGGATCAAAGCGTATTCTTGTCTTGTCATTCGAACAGCACAGCGCTTTAGTTCGCCGACTCGCACCACACTTCTCTCTCTTCGAGAGAGATAGACGATACGATATTCGCGCGCTTGGATAACGGGTAGCAGAACCTCAGGCGCGAACATGCACTCCGACAGAAATCCGAAACCCAGAATACGTTCAAACTGAGTAGAACCCGCTGATTTGGTGGTTTTTGATGATGCGAGAAAAGATTATAAATGAAACAATTACGTGAAATTTAGTATATAAATAGTTTATTACTGGAACGTTATCAAGAATTTAATTATACCAAACGTCCTTAGGTTTTTTCTATATATGCCTCTTGGCAAACTCCAACGTGAAAAAAACGCTTTCAGTGTAATGCGTACTTTTCGCGGATGCAATTTGGTCAACGGCTCGCGGAACGCCCCGTATACGAGTGCACTAGATACACCACTAACCGCCTATACAGGGAACACTACAGAAGAAAAACCATGAGCCATTCCACTATGTGAAGGTGGGCGACCAGCGGTGCTGTTTAGCACACGACACAGACGTGACACAGTATTTTGAGCAGAGTTACGAACACATTTATTCTCTCGATCGGTGGTCATCGTGACGAAATGTACGCACACATATGTCGAGGACTATCGCCGCCCCGTGGAGCCGGAGGAAATAGACACGCACGACGGGACCGCCACCAGGCGGAAGGAAAGGAAACTAGGCTCGCAAGAGTTTGTAACGACGGCAAAGACAGGCCGGTACGAGCCCTCTGAGTTTTTGTTGACGCACACAAAAATTCCATAAAGAGATTCGCTCTCAAAAAAAAAAGCGTATACTCACCAGGATAACTTGATTAAGAAATCCATTGTGGGGGTCCTTCTCATGTTCCAGCATCTCTTTCCTTGGGGCCTTAAAACGGTTGTTGAAAAGAGCTCGGAATATGAGCAATCTCTAGTGGTTACGCATTAGCAATACTAGAATCGCAAAGAATAGGAAAATAAACTTTTTCATTGAAACATTTTCCGGAGAACAACTACCATCCCATTTTTTCATACACAACTAGCTTAACAGAGTCACTTGGTTTCCATAGACAGAGTATTCAAAACGTGCGTGAGTTTAGAAGAAATTCTGTCAAGCGACAACAGTCGGCTTTTTTCTCTCCCTCCCCGTCTCCCCTGGAGAGAAAGAATCAAGTTCAAGTTGAAGTTGAATTTATTTGCAAGCCATAAGATGCATGTCCTTTATAAAGATAGGCGCTTTGCCCCATATGCCCCGACAACTGATCTATGCTATCTGCTTCGTTAACTACAAGCATTTTTGGTGTGCCGACAACCGAAAAACACTATATTTAGCCATATGCTTTCTCCATAGCAAGGTTTATTAGTCTAAATTGTTTTCAAATATTTGTAGGGGTTTAAGGAAAGTACGAGCGCTTATCTTCAAACGTATAAACTGACTAAAAAAGAAAAAGTGTTGCTGGAAATGAATGACAAGAAATCTTTTATATATTCATATACATGTCTTAATCCAGCTAATGTATTGACACTATAACATACGTTAATGTTGCGAAACACAATATACTCACTTTCTCGTTGCATCCAAACTCTTTAAAAGCACATCCAATCAAAGCCTCTTCGCAGGTTTCAAGGTGCGCGTTTTTCTGCGAGATCATAATTAACGAGGTTTGGCTATTAGCAGGCTTAACAGGCGACATCTTATCTACAGCGTGCCACAAAAACAAAGTGCCGGGGATTTTTTAACCGCAAAACTCAATCGTCGAACGCCCAGTGTCCTCCCAAATAAAATGTAGCGCTAGCGGTCCGTACCAGGCTCAAGTTTCTGAACTAACCATTATCTTATTCAAAAGTTAAGTGATTTTCTGAAACTTTCAATGGAAAAACGGTGCTTATTCTCCGTAGTTTGCGCTATTCAGGTCCATGCATTCGCGAAATCGCAAATATATGGTTGTGCTACCCGAAAAATACGTGGACAGGAAGATATACACGACGTTTCGGGCGGACGCCATTCTAGAAGAAGGGCGTCCGCCCGAAACGTCGTGTATACCTTCCTGTCCACGTATCTTTTCCAGTTGCACAACCATATATTTGTGATTTTATGTTTAAGCTAATTGTGCTCGGCAGTGCCCCCATTCTCTTGGATACTTCCATGTATTCATAAGCGTTTTCGGCCACCATTTTACTGTAATAAATTTCCGAAAACGTTAAACTTTTTTGTTTTCAAGTTTGGCGCCTGGTTCCGGCCGCTCGCGCTACATTTGGACGGGAACTAAGTGTTTGACGATGGGTAGTTTATTTTTTAACTAAAAAACACCACTTTTTTGTGTGCCCGAAGCATTTCGTATATTTACAATTATTTCCAAAACGGCCATTTTTCTATCGCACAATTCGCGAACACGGGCGGAAAGAAGTATGTCAGCTCTTCAACATATGGTACATACCTATAGTGTGAAGGATATGAAACATTTTCGGGGACACCCTTTATAATATTGCAATTCTTTGCAAGACGCGAGGAACTGCCATTCTCGTTTTTAAATGCTTTGGCATTTAGAAACGCGAGTGCCAGACTCGCATCTTGCTCAGTAGATGCCCGGTTACTCCCGGGAAGTCACAACACACAATCAAGCAGACGCCAACGACGCGCGGATAGCTTGCTCGTCTAGCACTTTCTATAGCACATGCTAAAAGAGCAGCTATTCAGGCTCCGAGCGTTTGTGCCAAATAATCCAATATTTCATATCATTTTTTTTTTACTTCGGAGCGTTTTTTTTTTTTTTTTTTTTTTTTTTTTTTTTTTTTTTTTTTATTTGTTAGGGCTGTTTACAAGTAATTCGCGGCACGGCGTGAGTTTCATCTTCTCCGTTCTGTTATGTCTCGCTCCCGAAGTTGTGATACTGGAGTTGCCGCGGCACCCAAAACGGCGGCGAGGCGATCGAATCTAGCTCGACGCTGCATCGTATCCTGTATTATTATTCATTATTATTATTGTCACTGTTATTGCTGTTATTGTTATTGCTATTGTTAAACCAAGGTTATGAAACACGTGCTTCTTCGTATGCTTAATGCTTTTATAACGAGTTGCGATATTCCACAAGAACAAAAAACCGCCATTGTAAGGCTCTTGTTCAAAGGTGGAGCAGCTATTCAGATTAAAGACTACCGCCCGATTTCTCTGTTACCGATTATTCCTTAAATTCTCGAAAAACGTAAGTTGCATGTTATGTCGTCATCATTGTGGACCGAACCACGGAGTTTCTTTGGCAGCTGTCGTTACAGCGACTTCCCAGAGGCGTACCCAAGAGGCGACCTGCGGCTACTGGAGCCGTCAAGACCGTGAGCGAAGTGGACCTCCCTAGTGATGCTAGACGTGTGCTCGAGTGCACCGGAATTACTTGGCCTCGTCCGGGCGGTCTCTAGGTGCGCTCCGGTGGACGAGCTTGAGAGATGCATTTCCGATGGTGTTGATGTGCTCCCTCATATCAATCAGTCATTGTCTCGCGTGCCGGTTAAACACGTGGCCTCCATTCTGAAGGAACGGCGGTTGTCAGTCCTCCCCACCGACAAAGAAGTAGGTTTTGTTGTGTTAACGGAGGGCGTGTCTGGTAGCAAAGCCCTCGAAAGCCCTTTCCTCCGTGTTCACTCAGCGGCAGGATATGTCACTGAAGAAGCTTAAACTAGAAGGAAGGAATCTGTGCAATCGGTTAGAACTTGGCCGTTTGGTAAACAGCATTGATAATAGCAAGAGCGGGTGCCTGCAAATTTTGTTCAGTGCTAATACCCACACAGTAAACTGCCCGTTGAGGGGGATAGTTTCAGAGCAAGGCATATGGCAGAAGTCGATTGGTACCTTTCTACTAGAAAAACTAAAAATCCTAAGCATTGACGACCCTTTTTTGATCAGGGGCCCTAACGAGGTCGTTGAATTTTTGAAGACGAACACTAACAAAGTTTTTTTGGCCTGTTCTTTTGACATCAAAGATCTGTATTATTCCTTACCCCATGACAAAATGTCGGGTTGCGTGGAAGACTGTATTAAGAGTTACGGGCATGAAGCAAAATGAAGCTGGCATGACTGTGGAAAACATGTTGGATTGCTTTAATTTTATTTTAATTTGACTTTTGCGGAGTGGAATAACGGTGTTTATCTCCAAAAACGAGGCGTATGTATCGGTTCGTGTTCAGCGCCTATTCTGAGCTATATATTTTTAGCCCATCATGACAACGTCTTTCCGGACCGCCTGAGTGGTTTTAATGGAGGAAAGTTTTTAGGTATGTAGATGATTTTTTAGTCTTTCTTGACCACGATACGTCCCGGTTTCACTCCGTCGTGGACTTTTGGAGATGCCCTATTCCCCTTCCAGCTCACACATGAGCTTTCAATAGATAACGTCATACAATTTCTAGACCTCAAGCTAACCCTGCCGGATCATCATGTTTGTTGGACCTACCAGCCCAGGGCCAATAAGCCCCTGTTGCCGTATAAGTCATCCCATTGTAAACTCGTCAAAAGAGGTTTTGTGAAGTTGTGTTTTGTGAACGCCCTTCGCAGATCGTGTAACCATGTGGCACATTCAAGTCTGGGGAAGCAGTCAGAGCGCCTGTTATCAGCCGGTTATCCCAAGAGTGTGCTGGTGTCTGTTGTGGAAGGCGTTCTCAGGGGGCTAAGTGTTCAAGATAACCCTTTTCCGGGTTTAGTCAAAGAGAAAGAAGTTAAACAAAAGATAGGGGTTGTTCCCTATATGCACAAAGCTGCGCACAACCTTAAGAAAATAGCAAACCGAGTGAATACGAAGGTTGTTTTCTCGGCTCCGGAGAAGCTAATCAGGTTGTGCAGATTAACGAACCCCTTTCGCGGAGGGCCCCCTGTGCTGTGGCAAGAAGCATAGAAACCTGTTTGTCGGTTGCGCAGAGGGAATCGTGTACGTGATTCAGTTGTCATGCGGTAAAAAGTACATCGGGCAAACAGGCAGATGCCTAAATGATAAGTTACGAGAGCACAATTTGAATGTTAATAACCACCGCAACGGTCATCTTTCAGTTCATTGTCACGATTGTGGATGCAGGCCCTTGTTCAGCCTGGAAAACAATGCGTCAGTGCTGCCTCCATGGACCTGTTAGACAAGGAGTTAGCGTTTTCGCGAGCGACGATGAGTCCTGGAATTGGCTGAGGTGAAGCGGTTTGAGTGTATATATGTCCCCACCCCCCCCCCCCCCCCCTTTAAAAAAAAAAATAAACAGTTGAAGTAGCGCTTCCTTTTGTCTAGTCTCCCTTTTGTCCTCGTCTTAAGCGCCATCATGACGTCAAAGTCACAGTACCAACTAGCCCAGCAATCTGCATTGTTTGGTTTTGTTCAGGGGAGGGGAACATACCCATTGCTAGAGTATTTTGCAGATTTGCTACTTTACGGTTTTGAGAAACACTTTGTTAGCTGCGCTATTTTTTAGATGTATCGAAACCATTTGATTCTATTAGCCATTCCCTCCTAGTAAAGCAGTTATATTGTTTTGAGCTTTGTGGTCTGCTTTTCTTTTTATTTCTTTCAAGCTACCTTACAAAATTGCTCACAACATGTAATAGCAGCAGAGTCGCGAAGTTTACGAACAATCCTAAGATCAATTCTACCTAGACAGAATTAATTTGTTGATTAATGATATTCATACATATATTTCTGAAGCCAAAATCTATTAATATGAAGACGATACTGTCATGGTTACGCGTCATATTAATTACGAAGATGCTGCCCGCTCAATGCAATGCGCTGCGACTGCGGTCATAAAATGGTTTCAACAAAATCTTATCGCCATCAATGTAAATAAGGTAAAAATATTTTTTCCATAATCCCCTTAAATACGTAGGAGTGAATTTATTTATTATTTTAGATCACTCAAAATGCGTATCTTGCAAATGTTTTCCTTTTGTATATGTTGAAAGTGTAAAATACCTCGGCGTTGTTCTTGACTGTAGTTTAATCTGGGGTATTCAACTGATGTCCCTTTGTGCAAAACTGAGGAGTGCCTGTTGCCTGTTATAACAGACCACTTATGCCTTTTTCATTACGTAATTTAATCATTCATGCGCTTGCATATAGTGAATTCACATATAGAGTTGCGGTGTTTGGACACTCTTCCGGCTACTGTAATAACGAAGTGGATTCTATTTTGAAAACAAAAATACTGAAAAGTGATTCTTATGCCATGCAAATTCCTGACGGTACTGTCTTGTCTTACTATTTAATATTGCCACGTCTCGGAACACTATTTATTAGGACTGTTGTCCTACGCCACTTTCGGTCAGATGATTTAAAAACCGAAAACCCTTCACCTCATTCTCTTTGTTTTCAATATACTTACAAAATTTCCTTTGTCCGGACTTACAACGGCAGGACTACACGCGAATATTATCTGCCAGATGTCGTTAATAATAGGCGTTCTAAAATTCTGCAGGCTAACTGCATGAGACAGCTGGAGGCAATGATAGGATTTTGTCTTTTCTAACGGTTATGCTTCCCAATGATTTTTATACCTACGGCGTGTCAACTTAAATTATACTTGTCATCTAGCTTTTTGTTTTGTCTTCCAAACTGTTTTATACCTTGCTTTCGCCGATTTCTTTGTACGGCAGTTACTGCTTTTGTTGTCGTAGATGCTAGTACAATCATCTTTATAACGTTTAGTTGGGCGGCGTCACACATGCCTTTAATGGCATTATTGCCCCCGCACTCTTGTGTACCATCATGAATGTTCTTCAATACAAATGACTATGAGTATGGCTAGGACTACAACTATTAATAATATTATTAATACAAAGAAATAATAAACTGTAATTTTTATCAAAAAGGTGAATTAACGCTACCTTGGCCACGATTGTGGTGGGATGGAAATATTTTCCCAATGGAAGCTGCACCTAACGAATTATTTGATACGCCGAAAATAAAGTTACAAGGTTGCACAGATAAATGTTTCTGGTGCCAGTACTAGATAAACAGAGAACACTGATGCGCGCAAAAAAAAAAAAAGTACCCTACGCCGCCCAAACAATCTAAACATGGCCGTGTCTATTTTCCCCACAGATGGCAGAATCTATGAAATTCTCCCGGCAGTCACTTCCCATTCGCTATCAGAAACTACGCAACGACTGCCGTTAGACTACCAAGTTTCTTATTGTCACTTCATTTCGTGTAAACATGTTTCGTGGACAACGCTGTGCGGATACAGGTCTCATGGACACGTTTCAATGACACAGGTTACTCGAATTCCACGCTGCAGGGACATTTGGTCGCGCGTCACTGGAGCGCGTAATAACATACTCGGCCCACCCGTTAACGCCGCTTGGCAATGACAGTCAGGGGCGGCTCATTACAGAAAAAAAGCTAATCCGAGCTGTCGGTGAAACGATCTATTGATGAAACAGTGCTCGTCGTTTAAACGATCTGTCCACGGCCGAAACGTTGATTTATGAGCTAATGGCCGCTGCCAACAGGAGGCGACTGCAGGTAGAATTTTGGGGAAATTATTATCTTTAATGCCGGAAGAATAGACACTTTCTTTTAACATCGTAGTCTAAAAATCAAGCCAATTGCCCGCTTTGACATTTAGAACCCATACTCACTTCATCATCGCCTTTCAGTTCCAATTCGCAGTACTCGCAAGCAAGTTTCTTTTTTTCACACTGCTTCCTGTGCTCCTGAAATTAAATATACGGATCAGGTCATGAAGAAGAATATAAAGCGTCAACTACAATCATCAATGTCACCTTGTCTCTAAAACAAAACGGAGAGCTTCTAGCGCCACCAGTTCATCTTAATTTCTTGTGTACAAACTTAACTTTAATATACGGCGGTCAAGGCACCGACTTGTTGTTGAAATAAATATTTTCGTTTTATTCACTTCTTTGTTGCTTTCAAGCAGAGCTACATTGCTGCAACCTTTATGATATCAATAGAGACGGACGGACATTGCATTCTTAAATAAATGGTTGTATCATTTGAAAACGCTATACACAATAGAAACTATAAATATTTCGAGCAAGCAGTTATTATCTTAATATCGTTTTACTTATTTTGAAGTGAGTATTTGATTAGTAAGCCTTATCATTCGATTCTAATAACGCCTCTACATTAAAAGCTTCTTTTGCCGACAGTGTTTGTTTTTTTGGAGAGCAATCACTCGCTAAAATTGATTCGAGACTATAATGTGTCAACATTGCATTACGTCATCATTGACTAGGCTGTAAGAAAAGATTGGTTGCTCGGCTTTACTACAACAATAAATGGGGAAACGAAAATATTTTTCAGGTGTATGAAGTATCCGTGGTTAATATTTTAGACTCAAGCGCGAATGTAACAAGTTAGGGACGACAATTAAATATTCCACCATCCTTCACGCTCCAGCTGAATTGTTTTTACTAAATATATATTTTAGCTTTGAAATGTAAAGCGTTGTCTTTTGTATAGCGTACGCCGCAACATAAAAACATTTAAAGAAAGCCAGAAATTACAATCAGTACCATTTCCTGAACTCAAATGAAACCACCCAACCATGTTGTGTTATGACAGATTTTTGTCTGTATTTCCTACCATGATCTCACTCTTCTTTTTGACGCACTGTAGAAATTGTGGTGTCTAGTATTAGCGCCCACACAATTAATAAACCCCACTGATATCGGCTTCACTTTAGAATTGGTAAAAGTTTAAACAAAGGTGTACGTTAATAAATAATATCAAAAATATATAAACATACATTAAGATCTATTTCAAGTATAGACCTTTGCAAAGAATAAACTTCTGCGCGCTGCCATCTGTTGTCAATAACAACCGCAAGGTTTAACCCAATACGAACTGTTTATTAGTCTAAATCTACAACTCAAGCTTCGTTAAACAGAGAAAAGTTCCTTTGCATGGAGTCTTTCGTTGCGTTCCTCTTTCGATGTTCCCTGAGAGCCCGTCGTCCGGTGATCATTTTCCTTCTCCTCCTCCGACCGACGTTTCAGATTCCGCTTCTTTCCCGGTCCACTTTTCGCACCCCGAGATGGTCGATGGCGGCAGCAGGCGTCTTGTCTTGCTCAAGTTCGCCCGAGGTGGTGTAAACATGACGTGAGGCCGCGGGAAAAGCTCAGTCCGTCAGGTGCCAGTCGAGATTACCCGAGCATCCACGTGCTTTCCTCGTGCTCGTCTTTCTTCTTTGTGTGTACTTATTTTTTCGTCCTGTCTGTTTACGCTCTTACGCTGTGCCGTACCACGTGAGATTTATCGCCATCTCGTTGTCGGTTTTACTGTTTCTTGCCCTCCCGAGCTCCGAGTCAGAGTTCAGACTTACAACACCATCTTTGTCTGCTGGGCTGTGGAACGCCTTCTGAGCATGCGCTGTTGGTCTGGTGTGTGGTACAGCTGCAACGGAAAAAGAGTAGCACAAGTGACCGATGACCGGAGCGGCAAAATCGCGACACGCGGCGCTCTTGTTCCCGAGCGCGCCAATAGCGAAAGTGACAGTCACGTTTCATGTCTCAACGCGGGGGCGGCCGGCAGCAAGCAGCTTATTTGAAAGCCTGCATTTTGAAAGCTATCTTATCCCTCAACTTTCTGCCGGCCACCCCCACATTGAAAAATGCAACATGACTTGCACTCTCGCTATCGGCGAGCTCGGGGACAATAGCGCCGCGTGTCGCGGTTTTGCGGCTCCGGTCATCGGTCTCTTGTGCTACTCTTTTTCCGTTGCAGCTGTACATCGGACGCTGAGCGTGCGTCCACAGCTCACTGATTCAGCATTTTTCGCCCGTGTGATGAGCGATGGAAAGGTCTATAGATAATTATAATCTAATTAGTAGACCTTTTTGTATTTTCCATTAGCCCGTTTTCGGTACAAACCACGTGACTATGACAATGTGTACGGAAACCTACTGCGCACAACTATGCGGTACATGGAACGCGTCTCCGACTGGAGTGTTTTCCGCGTCCTAAGAAGTGGTCCCTCCAGTTCCCCCTGATGACGTCACAAAAGTGTCATATTGTCGCCGGGCGCGATCGTCGCGGTGTCACAACAGCGGTTGTGAATGGGGCAGACGTCTGTTCTACTGCAGGTCGCTTTCCACCTTGACAGTGGCAAGGAAGCTTGCGGGCATCTTCTAGCTCCGATTCCCACAGACCCTGTTCCCGTATGAATATGACACTGCAATACTTCGCTCTCGGCAAAAGGGTTTAATCACTCACTCATTGCCTTGGGGGGTTTCGGGATCGGGGGACGGTTAACAGCGAGGCCGGGGGAGAGTGCGCTGCCACAGCAGCTTCTCCGAGTCCCAGCGGTGGTCGTCCACACCGCGTCATGGGGACGTCGTCGTCCAGGGTCGCTGTCCGGTCCGCTTGTCGAGTCCGCCACTCGACGTAGTGCCCGCACTCCCTGCGCCAGCGTCCGGCGCCGTCCGAGCTCGCCTCCATGACCGGTCCCTTGTCAAGTCGGCAGCCCAAGCCCCTTCCTTTGTCTTCGTTCCCCTTTTAAGACCTTCCCAAGTCCTTGTCCCGCCGACCGTCCAATCGGGAACCTTGCTGCGACCGACCCTCCGACGTCAGCGCTGGGTGAGGGGGCGCTTGCCCCATCCCTCCCGGAGAGCTCGGACATTCCGCGACAGGCCGGCGACGTGAAACGGGAAGGTCACCGGGAACGAAGGAGCGCCCGACAATACGGCGGCGGGGACCGGCAAGGTCACGGAGAGCGGAGGAGCCAGGGAGAGGGTCCCCACACCTCCCCTCCCTCAAGGCTCGGACCCCGGGGGGCTTGAGGTTGCGTGGTCCCCAGGACCCTGGGCAGGGAGCTCGTTCAGCTGAGTGTCGCCGATGACGACGAGCACCCTCGATGATGATGATGGCATCAAACCAGGCAGGTCAGCGGTGAACGTTGATTCACTGGGAAGCTCGTGACCGACGGAGCACGGTCCACGAACTGGTCCGGAGCACCACAGCTCACAACACGGACGGGCACTCAGGCACACACAACACGCCGGCACTTAAAGTTCGCTTCCGTCCCTAACGTAACAGACAGCGAATCGCGCAAAAACGAATAGCGGCACGCTATATCAGACAGCGCGACGAAACCAAAATCTTTCGATCGTTGGACATGCCACGAAATAAAAACAAAACTCTTCATTTCAATACTAACGGGCAGGCAATCATCAAGAACGTCACGCTACACGTTCAAGAGGTACATAAGAGGAAATCTATTCCTGAACTAAAAAGCGTGAGCACTCATTGTATACTCAAATCGTACATACACCCACTATACAACATTTGCTCCTATCAAACTCAACTGCATTCTTTTAAAACAGTAAGCAATCTACCAGAGCGTCAGAACCGCACACCTCTGACAACAATATTAATCTCAAACACACTCGCGAAGAACGCATAAAACCTCAAAAACCAAGAATAACCTTCCGTAAAACAGAAACGGTCACAAATCCAGTCCCGTTCGCGAGGTGCGACTCGGAAGGAACACGCTGCCAACAACCCATGACGGGCACTCATGCACTCGGCGTTCACGCTACCCGAGCTACAAACACGCTACAGCCAAGCTGCGCAGCACGCCTTCATCAGAAGGGGTAATCACCTTCCTGAGAGGCCGTTGTTCCGTGGTACCGGCCACTTACACCAGTACAAAGGGAACAGTACCTGGATCGTGCGAACAGCAGATCTCATTGGACAGCCTATTTACACGGCTATGTCCGCAACGTCTGGGCATGTACCAGACGTTACCGCTTCACTGCTCGGAGGTGACCACCCAACAGGAGCGACAAACGCGTAACGGCGGTCCGCACCGAACCCCGCACGGGCTCGACAACCGCGATAAGCGCATCGACGCACGTTAGAGTTCTCCCTCGGCCAAACCCCGACACCGCATAACTAAAAAGTCTTCCAGATGATGAAAAGGCCGCCCGGGATCGAGCAATAAAGGTACGCCATCAACGCGTCTCGCGACTCTTCGACGTTCTCGAATCGAGCAACGTGTCCACATACAAACGCAGTAGGTTACGCACAAAGCTCGCCCCCAGCCAAGTCAACACGCCGCATGACTGAAAAGTCTTCTTGCGACTGTAAGGACAGGAAGGGTTCGAACAATGTAAGTATCCCACACGCGCACCTCTCAACTTCCGCGCAACGAGCGCGATACCAAAATGCCAAATAATCTAACCGGCCAGTCTTGGAGATGGACGAGCTAATAAACTATATTTGCTCTGCATAAACAGTTTCCGCAGCGTCGAAGTGTCTACGGCATTTACCGCCGCATTCCAACACCCGCTACCCATTCATGCAAAGGCTGCAGTTAGTACAGCGACGGGCTGACCCAACGCACAACAGTTATAGGCCGCCGACGGCCATGCCGCTGCCATAATTTCTAGGCTTCCCGGGCACGTACCCGCCGACGTGAACCGTACGTTTTCCCGGGCCAACCGCGCATCTGTACAGGATAAAACTATGAACCACTCGTCACATACTCGCAAGACCGCCACTCCCCTCGTGCAGGTTTTGACTGCACGAGCCCAGCTCTTTCCTCACCTAGCTGTCTTTTCTCCCCTAAATTTATAATTTATCTCTAACCCAGGTCTCTGCACGACCAATTACGCTCTCTACACCCTCGCGTCCCAACGCGAACCCAAGCACGGCTGAGAACCGTACTGTATCCGAGCAGCGCAAAGCGCGCGCTGGCCGCCGCTCCTCCGGAGACGGAGAAAACGAAATGAAAGAGTGCCTCCCGCCGCGAGGCTCAACCATCGATATGGCGGTGTGAGGATCCGGAACCAACTGTGCGCACAATTAAACGGGATCAGCCTCACGACTCTACAACCAGATACGCACGGGTAATGCCCATCGCGTCAGACTGGACTCCACGGAGCATTACACACGCACAGCCACTGACAAAGTGAAAACGGAAACTCTGTCGTTTTCGGGATTCCGATGTCCACGCACCGGACATCGCGTACCCGGCACGATTTAGTGGGCTGAGCCCCTAAATGTAGCCTCTGGCCACAAGGTACTCGTTCAAAGCGATCTTGGTCGGAACCACAAGAGCGCATCCGTACCTTAAAACGCTGTCAACTAACGACGCTCAAAACCGCGCCGACAGCTCAAGCAAGGCCAACTGGGAGCTAGCATGCGATCAAACCGAGACGCTAGTCTCCTCCCGGACAAAATGCAATGCGGGAATAATTTCCAAACACAGTCCATGCAACCGCCATCCGCAATGGGAGCTTTGTCCACCCAGAGCGATGCCTCTTTAACGCGTCCGATCCGTAACAAGCGTTACAAACCATTACATCGATACGCGAACAAAGGCGGTTAGGCGCGTCACATCCCCCGAAGCGTGAGCCGGCATCTTTCCAGCAGACATGGACGGCCGGAGGCGTAGGTGGGGGGACGCCCGACGCTACATGCCTCGAGGGGTGCGGTAATTTCGACGCACACAGCGCTTTTGCGTAGCAGGATCAACCTGCCAGGGCATCGAACGGTGCGCTGAACAGCAAACACTCAAAGCGCTTCTCGTAACGGGGATAAGCGAATTCCTGACAGGCTGGGGAAAAGGGTTAATCCCTTAAAACAGCGGTCAAAATCCGCGCCTTCTAATCAGACAGGCGATAATGTCAGGGCCTCCGTGCGGCGCTCCCGCAACGAAACTTCGTGCGGCGCTCCCGCGACAAAGATGACCCCCAAAAAGAGCGCGAAACAGTGCTTAATTCAACCGGAAACAGGTTAGAAATCGGAATGCCTGCCTGATCCAGAATCAGGCCCCACGTTGGACGCCAGTTTATGCGGGCATCTTCTAGCTCCGATTCCCACAGACCCTGTTCCCGTATGAATATGACACTGCAATACTTCGCTCTCGGCAAAAGGGTTTAATCACTCACTCATTGCCTTGGGGGGTTTCGGGATCGGGGGACGGTTAACAGCGAGGCCGGGGGAGAGTGCGCTGCCACAGCAGCTTCTCCGAGTCCCAGCGGTGGTCGTCCACACCGCGTCATGGGGACGTCGTCGTCCAGGGTCGCTGTCCGGTCCGCTTGTCGAGTCCGCCACTCGACGTAGTGCCCGCACTCCCTGCGCCAGCGTCCGGCGCCGTCCGAGCTCGCCTCCATGACCGGTCCCTTGTCAAGTCGGCAGCCCAAGCCCCTTCCTTTGTCTTCGTTCCCCTTTTAAGACCTTCCCAAGTCCTTGTCCCGCCGACCGTCCAATCGGGAACCTTGCTGCGACCGACCCTCCGACGTCAGCGCTGGGTGAGGGGGCGCTTGCCCCATCCCTCCCGGAGAGCTCGGACATTCCGCGACAGGCCGGCGACGTGAAACGGGAAGGTCACCGGGAACGAAGGAGCGCCCGACAATACGGCGGCGGGGACCGGCAAGGTCACGGAGAGCGGAGGAGCCAGGGAGAGGGTCCCCACAAGCTTCAGCAGCCAGGAGTTGAAATTCTACGACGCCAGCGACACTCGCCTTCACCCGTACTTTTGCCATGACTTGTTGCACTAAACGCCAGCATCGCGACATCCAATAACAAGACAATTTGACTTTTGTGACGTCATTTGTTACTTCTTTGGGAGCACTTTTGATCTCAGGGCGGGATAGGACCCTAAACACACCAGTCCAAGATGCTTTCCATATTCCAGGTACCGCAGTACAACCAATCACGACTTTATTCCTCACCTTTTCTAAAGAGTAGGCGTACACTCCTTCACAGCTCTCGCAGTACACAAGACGCATTGGACACTCGAAGGCATGCTTGAACTTCTCCTTCCGTAGTATCTCACCCTCGCAGTCGTCGCAGAACACTGGTTTCTCGAGGCATTCCTGGTCATGATCCTTCAAATTGTGATAAAAGTATAAAACATGCTAAGTACTACGTGCACTATTTTTCCATACATTCCGGAGTAGGGTAAGAAACTATACATCTAAAATTGCCTAATTAATGGGAAAGCCGTCTAGACTATCTGTCTTTACTAGCTTAGTTCATCACGCGCCTTGTATTCGTCTTTGGAACTTACAGCCAATAACTGTTGTCTAATTATTTTTATAGTGTCTTTTTTTTCGTTTACTCGTATGCAACGAGGCATTTTTTTTTGTAAAGTAATGTAATGTATTCAGTAGTAATAGAATCGATCACAAGATGGTTTGACACGAAACCAAGCTCGATTCAGTTTTTAATGTTTTCTTCTTTGGTTGTCTTCTTCAAACATAGGTATTTTCGCTAGTGGGCTGGTATACATTTTTTATGCGCACAAAAAACAGGGAACAAATTACAAGATAGAAATAGCATCAGCGAATATATTTTGACCAATTATCGTTCTATTCGAGATAAGATATCATACTATACCCATCAACAGTGCTCTCAGAAATTCAAACGTCTTTTAGACTAGGTACGGGTATCTAACAGATCGGTTTTGATTAAAAATGCCGTCAACAAATTCCACTGAGCGCAAATGTCGATATAAACAAAATATTAATGTTGAAGAAGTCAGTATCACGAACTAAGAACTGTAGGTATACTCCAAATAAAATGAATGTATGTCCCACACCTGGACAATATGCAGTGTGCTTAACTTTATTTCAAACTATTTTCTGTGAAAAGGGAGTGAGAGTCGCATGGCTGCCGTATCAACACATATTTCCCGTGCTCGACGAACATTATTTGAGGGAATACAAGTCACTGTAGGTCGGCCACTTAATTAACATCTGCTGATTATATTTTTCAATGTTGTTTCAATGGGGCGCACGGCAATCGCGCTATTGTTGACAATTACTATTAAAGGCTACACCAATTGAAAAAGTGTGCTAACAGGCAATGGCTTCTGGAGTCAATACTCTGATTAGCTGTCGCGACCTTTCGCCCGATTTGAAAATCGCGTCTAAAAAGAGCGCCCGAAGCTCTGCTCACGCTGACGCTTAAAAGAGTCACGTAGTCATCTCAATTACGTTGTCAGTGGGGTTATTCTTTTTTGACCTGTACCAGCCTGCACCGCTGCAGAAAAGTGCGAGTTAATGTACTTCCTTTGTTTTGAGATAGGCTGCACCCTTAAATTGAATACGACGGTTTGTTCAAAGTGCAGCTGGCGCAGGTAAATCGAACGAGGCCACTATCTCAGTGGCGTGTCTTTGAAGAAGGGGCAGACAACACACTGTTGAAATACTAAGAACCTGACTCATGACTACGTCACTCGTCTGAGCGCCATTGTAAGCTAAGCATCGGGAGCTTTTTCTTTTTTTGGTGCAATTTTGAACCAGTTTTCGTTTTTTGTCTTTTCTTCTAAGTATTATTGGAATCTTTTCTTCGTCAAAACATAAATGCAAGAGAAACATAAAAATTAAAAAAAACTCTGGGCTTAAGAGATACTGTGGGTATTATTTTAAGAAACAGCAGCGCAAGAGAGACAGCAAGTAATGCAACTCTTTCCGCGTCTTAAAAACAACTTACGCTGAGTTCATCATAAGACATTGCACTTTTGCAGGCGTCACAAAAAACTATTCGCTTCTGGCACTCCTCTTCTTGATGATTTTGTATTTTTTCATTGAGAACGTTGGCACCGCAGTCGGAACACTTCCTTTCGATCTTCGGACACTCAGACTTGTGTTTCTGAAAAAAGGGATACACTTGTGCGTACAATGGTGATGATAATTAAAAATAACAAATAAAAACCAGCGTAGGTCGCAAACTGAAAACAGACAAAAATATAATCAGCGCTTTTGTTTACCACAAAAAATACCTGCTGTTTCTTCTAATACTTTCAAAACTCCCTATAAATAGGGTGGTAAAAAAAATGAGTCAGAAAGAAACTGACAGGCGGACATCGAGGTTGCAAGAGACACACAAATGAGCCAAATAATTACGTAATATTTACCTATTACTGTTCTCATTAATAAAAATAAAGAAAGCTTAAATTATGAACTTGCTGAGCGTCGTCAAAACCCCCTAAATAAGTTACTGTTAGCAAGACTTGAAGCAGGTGAGAAGCGCGGGAAAATGCTAAAGGAACCATTGTTGTAGCCAACGGAAGGCTGGAAAAGCAAAAACTTGGATTATTATCTGATCTACTGCGTTTTCGCATCCCCAGCCTTCCGCCTGCTGCCCTAGCGGAAAGGTCAGTGCACTCCCCCGCTTCAACCGGCTTCAAATCTTCCTAAATGAATGAATTTATTTGAAACATGTGTATATTTTGACTAATTTTAATGCTAATTAATTTTCATGTAAATATTTTGGTAAATAAGTAGCGGGTTTTTGCAATAATCCTGACGTCCGCCCTGGGTGACTGTTTGTTCCCTCAGATAGTTTCTTTCTTTTCCATACCACCCTATTTTAATAAAAATCTCAAAATATTCGCACAAACACCTGTAATGAAAATAGAATGAACGCGCAAGGATATCAACAGATATTTAAACATGCCGTTTATCGTACAAAGGAAAACTTGGATTCCTGTGAGGTGTTGTGCAATGCAGAGGGTAAGCTCGTCTAGTTCTTGCACAGGGGTCGCGGTGATGTCAGAATGTCGAGCTCTTATCGGCTGATTGAAAATAATAGTGCGAAGACCTCGAGGCATCTAGCATTGAAGTCTACCCACTAACCTTTCAATCAAGGCAGTTAAGTATTTAGGAGTCATGCTTATTAATTAAGGTGTTTTCTTTTGGTTAGGAAAGTTTATCTTTCCAGAGTTGCGTCGGCATTGTGTTTTTTTAGCTTTCTACGTTTGGGTCGGCGGGGCCAGAGCGGCCGCGACGCGGGAGCGGTCTCCCCGCCGGTCGTTAAGAAGCGTCTCGTGTTTCGGGGGTCTGCTCGGACCGGGACCGAAAGAGCCCGCGCTGGAAGATGCTTGTGGCTTATAACCGAATGTGCGTGTATGCAGAGGGTTTTGCCGCTTTGTGTAAAATTGTCCTTTTTGCCCAATGCAATAACTTAGCGGTTGGCGCCAGTCAGGCTGGAAAAATTGCAGAGAACAACTCTACGAGGAATTTAGGTTTGACGGTTGGGGCGTCAGGATGACAGCTCGCCGACCATTGGAGAACAGTGTACCACGTGTGAGTGGCGGAGTTTGAAGAGATTGGTCGGTTCCTGAGGGGAAAAGAGGCCCCTACGGGCCTACAAAAAGAGCGCGGAGAAGATTTTGAGGGATTCGGACTTTGGATTTGATGGAGAGAAATTGGGGACGGGGGTCAAGACTTTAGACGAAGCAGGATGGTTTCCCAAGTTGGGACTTGTAACTAGAGTGTAAATAAATGCACATAGTTCTATTCAAGCAGTGAGTCGACCCGTCACTCAGCGACGTTCGTGCCACCACGCTGCAGACCATCGAAGCGGAACCTACCTCCCACACCACCGGGAGGAACAACTTTAACTAAGGCCAATCAGAACTGGGCGTCGTGCTGACGTCACCGCAACCCTTGCGCAAGATGCAAACGACTTGCTCTCCCTATAGTCATGAGCCAGAGGGCGGCCGGCAACTGGTGAATGCCACTGATGAATCCTAAATTTAGGTGACTTCTTTTTTATAAAGACATTTACACGATGACTTATTACTCGAAACCCCAAACAACGGGTTCACAACATTTTGTTATGTGTTGTGGCTGACACTATACATTTTTACAGTGCATTTTACATTTTTTCAGTGCATTCGTTGTGGCTTACACTATTGTATTATATCCCGTGAGGGGTTTCAAGTAATTCTAGATGTAAACGATCAGGTAAAAGTAGTACAAAAAGAAGTACAGTGGTGGATTTGTCTTTACGTATACAGGTGGAGAAACATTTCGTTACTACATGCTTATATCAGTCTCATTTTGCAAACGCTATGCAATGTAGAATTTTGTAATTTTAGCCAGCAAGAATTTATTATTTATGGAAGTAGAAAATGGTTTGTATGCGTATAAGCTATTAGCAAGCATTTTTATTAGAAGCTAATGGCTAATAAAATATGTTGCAATGCGTTGAAATCTTCCTGTATCAACAGGGCGTGCTTTTGCAGAACGACCCCTTGCCTAACTTTATTAGACTATAATTTCTCAATATTGCATTAATCCTCCGTGAGAAAATATTGGTGCTCGTTTTTACTAGAAGTAGGTGCGAGAATTAAAAGTGAACTATCGAGAAACATGATATTATTACTCAAGCGCGAATCTAAAATGTTACAAACGAAAATCATCACAATTCCGTCAGATTTTCTGCTGCTTTAGAAATTCACTTTAAAACGAAATCTCTCAAGATTCTGATATTAAGCCTTGTTTTTATTTTGGTACATGCCGAAACGCAAAACCAATAGTAAAGATAAACAACAATTTAAAATCTACTCCACCGTCTGACCTCAAATGTAACCACCCAGCCTTTTGTGCTCTAATAGCCTGGTTTTCTGTATTTCAATGCTTAAAATCCTAGAGTTATTATAATGCACGCTAGACGTTTAAATGGCCCTCGTGTGTTGTTTTAGAATCAGTATAGAGTTTAAAAAGGGGTGTACCTTATTAAATAAAACCAAGAAATATATAAATTTACATTAATTTTAATTTCAACTATATTGATAGTATCTGGCCTTGGGTAACCCTTTTATTTATCTTACATTATCGCGTTCCTGGAACAAGCGACATGACTAGGACTGTGTTTGAAGCAGTACAATAGGTACAACTACGGTGCATATGGAACGCGTCTTCGACTGGTCTGCTCAAAACGTCCTAAAAAGTGGCGTGTCTCAGAAGTGTCATGTTGTCGCCGTACGCGATTCTGGCCGAGAGGTGATGAATGTGGCAGACGCCTGTTCTACTGCCTGCAAATCCCTCTCGAGCTTGACAGGCAACAGAAGTTTTAGCAGCCAGGAGTGGGAACTCCGCGACGACAGCGGCACTTCACTTCGCTCGTACGTTTTGCCGTGACTTCCAGAACCAACCGCAAGGGTCGCGACATCCGATAACATAAAAATTTGTTTTTTGTGACGTCATTTGTTGCCGTTCGGGATCACAAGAATAATTTTACATCACGCACTCTGTAGTCGTCTATAGATCTCATACCAGAACATTGTTACTTTATTATTTGTTGCAAGTGCATTTTGTTTTTACTCATAAACAACACAGTGTTTTGTTTCAGCGATATGTAATGATTAGATGTGAAGTTTATCCCAAAGATATTTAGAAAGAAACAATCGTTCCAACATGCTAATAGCTTGTATTTTCTGTTTGTTTTATTCATTAAGCATCAGTAGTTTTCTTGGTGACTGGCGTGCATTCACTAGGAAAGTGTAAAAATAAAGTGAACTATAAAAAGATTTAGCAATTTTATCCAGCAATTTCTCTTGATCTTCTCAGTAACCAAAGAGAAGGCATCATTGTACCTATCAGCAGTACTCTTCGAAGTGTAAACTACTTTAAAATTTGGCACTATCTTGAAATATTGAACAGCGTTTTTCATTAACGATTAGTACTGTGCGAATATTCGTCATTTTCGATTAACGAATCGAATATTACCCTATTCGATTTGTTAATCGAATCGAACAATAATTTTCAAAAGTTATGAATATTTTTCGAATAATTTCCGAATAGTCGTTACAGTGTCGCGCCGCGAGATTCCCTTCACAGGCGTCTGTAGCGAACCCAGGGTAGTCCTTGTTGTCGGGCTCCGCCGGAGCCAGGTACCGACCAGGACATCAGGAAGATGGACCTCGGAAGCGGGTTACTTTTCGATAGACGTTTCATTTACATTTGTACAGTTGGTTCAAGACCAGAAAATAGAAGACATTTGCTTCTCAAAGTTCGCTCATTTTAAACACTTGGTTCTCCCTAGGTTCCTAGGTAGGGATCCCCACATCGGAGGATAGTCGGCCAATCACAGAAAGGTGTCCTGTTCAAACACCGCCCCACATTCCATGATTACGCACACTCAGCCGCCGTTAACACTTCACCGTCGGTCTAGACGTCGCCGAGAGTCTCACCGAAACACCGGCTCGTTGGAATTCACGCAGCTGGTCAAAACACCGTCCGGGGCCGAGACATGACGTGCCGCCTTTCGACCCTTCGTGTCTACGCGTTGAATGAAGGCGTCCTGAATCTCCTGATGATCTCATCGCCCCGGATCGTGCCCTGGTGTTTCGGTGGTGAAACCTGAGACGTTGTTTTCCCTCTTCGGAGGCTATATCCAGACTTGTACACGTTAAAGTCTGGATATATCTCGGCGCCCGTCTCGTGCGTTTGCTGGGCAGGCGTGCTTCCGAAGCGATGATGGTGCCAGGCTCGCTGAGTCAGATGATCTTGAACCCGCGGGAGGCGTTCGACGAAAACAAACGGTCCGATGCAGACATTAAGAAATGGTCTGGGGCCCATTCATAACACCGTTCATTACACGTCCCACAGCGCTCCGGTACGCCTGCCATACGTGCCCGCAAGATGGCTTTACGTACCCTCTTCTCCTAGACAATGATTATCATCATCGGCAGCAGCAGCTTCCCTCTAAACGTACGTTGCTGTTGCCTCTATTAGGGACCCGCATGAAAGAGATTCGACAAGAGACGAGACAGGCGACGTCGACCCGCTTCGCTGTCGCTCGTTCAATCGCGCGATGAGGCAAGCCGCGGGGAAGTGGCGTGAGCAAGCGACCAAGGCGATGAGGACGTATTCTAGAAATCCAAACACCGAGCGACGCGACGAGCGACAGTGAGAAATCTCCATCACTCGCTGCTGACTCTCGTCGCTGTCGCTCGTCACGTCTCTCACTAAATCGCTTACATGCGGTTCAGCCTTTAAGGACCGCTTTCGCACGAGAATGCTCGTTAAAGCTTTCAGAAATCGTGTCGTCGAAACGTTTGGAAACTGATTGCAACGGTACCGCCTCTCTGTATCAGCGAAGTAGAAGTGGCAGAAGCGGGAAGTTGTTCGAGAAGAAAGCGCAGTAGAGTATGGAAGTTTTTCGGCCGCTCCCATGCAACCAATTGAAGAAGCCACAACAGCTGCTTGTGTCGAGTCTTTCCCAACACTTTCCATGGTCGTTCCACTTGTTCAGTGGGTGAAAATGTTGCTTTTTGAGGGCGCAAGTGAAACAAGAAAATACGTTTTCCCACACTCTTCCGAGATCAGTGAAAACAAGGTTCCTGGACGTTAAGTACACTGGCACACCAGTCCTTGCCACCTTCCTTGATTTTCGATTCAAGGACATCTGCTACAACAAGGAATGAAAAGAGAATGTAGAGTTTCTACTAAGTACATTGCTTCAGGATGTACCAGGCTCAATCGAACTCTGATTTTATGTTCAACATCCCGGTGAATCGTGATATTATGTTTAACATTCTAATATTTTAGTAGCGTTCGACTGCATTTAATTATATATCGCTAAACTCTACTCATTATTGTCTAGTAACGTCTTTACAATAATTTTAAGAAATATTTTGTAACAATAAAAATAATTTTATAATCTTTTCGCTCTTCTTTAGTAGCTCTCTACTTACTATTCGGAAACTATTAAAAAATTATGCGGTTCGTATTCGTATTCGATTCGGTGCCACGATTATTCGATTCGCATTCGATTCGGTTCCAAAAATCACTATACGCACACCCCTTTTAACGATGTCGCCCACAATTTATCCTGAGCGCGTAGGTTGACTGTACCAGGTTTTCAGTGTTGACCATGTCAGCATTAAGAATAAACGACATAAATTTTCGCTTCTTTGTTGTTTAGAAAGACCGCTCGGCATGCTATAATAGTGCTTTCAATAAGTTGTTGGTATTCTCCAAATAAAATATGGGTGCCAAACCATTAGAGCGTACTCAGTGCATTATTTGATTTTGAACGCACTTAGAACGATGCGTTACCAGGGGGTCGTCTTCACCAAATAATCACCAGACTCGGTGGACATTAAGCAATGAAGTAACCGTCACCGTAAGTTGGTTAATTAACTAAGCTCTGTTGATTAATTTTGAACTGGTTTTATGGGTAACGTTGCAATTGCAGTATTCACGGGCATTAATATTAGATGCTAGATAAATTAAAAGAATTGGAGAACAGACAATGATTTTTTTTAGATATTTATAGATTAGTTTTCACGACTTCTCGTACGATTTAAAATTGCACCCGAAAAGAGCGCCTGAAGTTCTTTCCATAGTGACGCTTAGAAGAGTGATGTAGTCGTCTCAGTCGAGTTGTCACTATCTGGGAGGCCAGTACTTGGTGGAGGCGCCGGCAACACAGTGTGGATGTAGTGACGATGGGACTAAAATGTATGTTACCCGCCTAAGCGTCATTGTGGGCGGGACATCGGGCGTTCTTTTCGCTCACAATCTTGAACCAGTACTTGCTTTTATCTTTTATGTTTTTCTTGATATTATTGGACATCCTGTGTACGGCATAACGAAGGAATAAAAGTGAACTAGAAAAGTCTAAAATCTTGGGGTCTAAAACACATTCTGAGTAATATTTTAAGAAACAAAGCGCGAGAGAGAAAACAAGCACTTACGCCAAATTGAGTGGAAGTCACTAGACTGTGGCACGCATCACAAAGAACTACTCGCTTCTGGCACTCCTTGTCCAGGTTATCTTGTAGGTTTTCGTTGAGAACTTTGACACCGCAGTCGAAACACTCTCTTTCGATCTTCGGGCACTCATACTTGTGTTCCTGGTACGAAACATAGACTTATGAATAACATGGTGATGATCATTAACCAAAAGTAAAAAGAAGCTTAGGTTGCACACAGATAAAATTTCAGCACTTTTGTTTACCGCCAGAAAATAATGTATAAAATTATGATGAACCGTCAAGAAAATCCACACATTCGCAAACATGTAGTTAATCTCTCAAAAAGATTTCAATTATTTTATACTTTTGCATCATAGTCATAGGTCAGAGGCAAGGTATCTGAAAAATGACCCAGATTAGTCCTATGATTAGGTGAGGTGCCTTCTATAAAGACATTTACATGGTTACTTCCCATTACTCAGAGATCCAATTATAGTGTTCGCAACGTTTTGTTCTAATCCTTACAATTTTCTGTGTATTGGTTGCCTGTATGCCAAAACCTTCTCTTAGCATATCATAATAAAATTGATCCGCATTCTTTATGGTGCACATTATTGTGGTACATCCCATGCCCAATCTCAAGACATGTTAGAATGGCAACAATTAGATGAGTGGATACCAATATATACTAAAGCTACAGGTTAATTTGCCATCCAAAGAGTCAGCGTGACTTCGTAGACTGGATCGTTATGTAAGAGGCTACATCTCTTATCATGTAGAAAACAATCGTTATTAGGAACGGTGAATATTTTGTAATGCCCAGAGAGAATTCATTTTTTTATTGGCAGAAGTTAAAATTGATTTTAGTATTTGTGCATAAAATACGAACAATAATTCTAATGCCAAATACAAGTTTTTTTGTTTTTATGCATTCAAAGCGGATAACAATAAAACAAGTTACAAGGGTTTATCCTCTTTCTATTGTCCTAACATGTCTTGTTATAATATTTTCTTTCTCTAAGGACGGCTGAAAGTTACATATTAAATGTTGAAATTACATAAAAAGAAGCCCATGATCAGCTTCACGTAGAATTGATAGTTGACGTTTTACGTACCGCGTTCAAACTACAACATAGACCCTCACTCTGCAGTGATATCAGCAACAAAAATCATTTCTGTGACCTTAATTAAAAATACCTAAATATTTATTAAAAATGCGTTTCTAAATTCACTCCTACCATATAAATTAAACTTCTTAAACTTTGAATTATTTATTTTATAGCTATACATTTCCAGTGCAGGCAACGGAAGGGTTTATTTGCTACTTCGACAAATGAAACTTTTGGCAGCCGGTTTTGGTGGTACTACCTACCTTTAGCTTGCTTTCGAGGGCGTTGTTTTTACACAGGGGGCGTTTGGACACTTGCGCAATAGGTGGACTGCATCGACTGGTTAAATTGCTTTCAGCAGCAGCCTCAAAAACTGGTAAGTGCTCCGACGACAATCTAGACTGCTGTAACAAACGGCAAAGGTACAAAAATATTTTAAAAGTTTCGTTTTGCTTTGGAATACCAATATCAAAACGTATTTTTGAAAATAAAATAAAATAAATATTTTCGCTGACAATAACTGAGTTAGTATAATTTGTTCAAAGTTTATGTTGTGCATCAAAGTTTCATTACAACATTGATGCATACACATATCAGCGACGCATCCCTTTTCATCAATACTTTTCCTGACCTACGCAATCTTGCGACATTTGATCTCAAGTTTGCGTAGGCAAACTTCTATATATCAGGAACAGCAACGAGCGAGGATAGAAGACTGCACAAATTGAAGTCGGTCTCTAAATTCTGGTCCTAAGATTATACCATTGTGCACACCACTGAACTTATGGATTATAAAATTATTTTATTTATTTTGTAATAAAATGCGCAGCATCAGCGATCGCTACTTTAATCGTGCGCGTGACCTCTTCAGGTAAAATGGGACAGTAATGTGTTCACTCAAATACCAGTTTAGTTTATTTTATATGCATGTGTTACTTTTAATCATAGTTAGCTCAAAAATGTTAAGTGGAATTTAATAATTAATTTAGATTTTCTCAGACCAAACCTTCCAGAAAACCTTGCGGTGAATGGTAAATGTGAGGGCAAGTAAACAATAATCCGCACTTTACATTTTATACTAAATTATAGAAACGTAGGCATTTAACAAGAACATAATTTTTCCAAACTGTCTCCTTCCTTTTCGATGCACTTTGCCTAGCGCCACTACCTTGGGTACTCCCTCCAAGACGAATGTGTCGGTTGGTCGCCCAACCTTTTACGCGGTTCCCGCACCGGTGGACGTCCTGCTCCCCCTTCGTACATGCAGATTGTATGGATACTTCTAAACGTCTAGATACACTCATAAAGACTTTTATGTTGCACAGCAATTTCCCCGTATTGTATGAAAAGCCTCCGATAAATTTCTACCCCTGATACACCTTCCAACCAAAAAAATTGAATCATTGCTCTTTTGTTTTTCTTCAGTGCACGCTACTAGCAGAGCGGGCATGTTTTATTACAGTGAAACAGAAACAAGACAAATTACGCTATCAAGGTTAAACTACAATAGCGTGACCACAGTAGTATCAACTCATGCACAGAATGCAGTGTGGAAAGCCTAAAGATGTGTTATAGTAAGCATAGAGCTACTATTTTGTACGCTAGAGTTCAGCTGACGCGTGTGTGCTTTTGCAAATTGAAGCAGGCAGCAAACAGACAAAAATTGATTTCCCGCGATAGGCTACCGGTAATGCATTTCTACAGAGAAAAGCGGGAGCGTTTTTTTTAAACTTTATTTTAGGAGAAATTTTTACAAACATTTGTACGGTAGCAAATAGTTGGAAACATTTCTAAATCATGCAACTAAAGGTATTGGTCAGTTAGTGTGTTTCTTTCAAATTTATAGCATAAAATAAAGCGCTAATACAGCTTCATGCATGCATTTATGTTCACTATCGGACATTGTTGTGCGAACACGGCGTCGGCGCTTTTCAACATGGGAAATTTACGTGCCAAATGAACAAAGGACATCTGAAAAACCTAGCGAGATGGCGATAACTACGCAGTAAAATTGGAGCAGTAGCTTCCTGTGCATGAAGACGATAAAAATGAAGTAAAGGCCAAGTTAGCACTGTTCGATTTGCAATAAATAAGTATGGCTTTGGTATCTCTGTTTGTGCAGAAAGAATCCTTCTGTTTTCAAACCAGCACCGTGCGCTAGAAATCGGAAAATAGGGATGTGCAAGAAAGCAGGTGCACGGTAAAGTCTGTCTAGCATAGGAAATAAATAATATTTAAAAACACTTTTCATAGCCCACGTAATTTGTACTTTACGTAAAAATACTTTAAATCGGTAATAAAGTTGCAAAGTGGGGTAACTTTCATATAGTGACAGGACTGCAGGCAAACCTTGAACACTTTACATTCCTTTCGATTGTTATTTTGCTTGGAATCTTCGCTCGTATTTACGCGCCAGCTATGGAACAGAGGTTTGTATCTTAAATATAGCTAAGTTTAACGTCGTTTATTGACGAGGAAAATACCGTAGCTGAAGCAGTTAAACCTTTACAATGATAAGAATTGTGCATGTAATTCGGTACGATCGAAGTAACAGAAGTGATCTATGTTATTTCCCGGCGAAGAGCCAAAACGCACACGCGTTTTCCCATAGGAACGCACAGGAGCACCGCAAAATTACACTGGGGTCTCTCTGGCTCAATTTGCATTCCGAATGTCGCCTAGACACCAGCGACAGTGTAACCTCTTGACTACATTATCATATCGTTATGATGGTAAATGCGCGGATAATTTTTACTCTTCTCATCATAGTATTGACTCTGTGCTTCATAAAAGTTTCATGTATGTTCAAACAGCGTGCTGATGAAGCCGCTAACAGTGCTGTTTTCCTTCGCCTGAGTGTTTATAAATTATCGAGAAATAACCTTTAAAGCTTCAAACCTAACTTTTAAAGCGTTTTACCAGTCGACTCGTTTCAATTATTACAATTTCAAAAACAGATTACTTACCTCCTCAGAAAACTGTTCAAAATCATGAGCCCAGGTCTTGCCGTCGACAGTTTCATCAACATCCATAGTCGTGTCCTAGAAATTGCCAGTATTCCAGGTGTCATAATTCAAGCACTACGTTGAATCAGTAAAAAAACTTCGCATTGATACAACAAGAGATTTGTTTCCACACGCATGCTTTACCTACTATGAAAATGAGCCTGCTTGTTGGGTTTGTGATGCAATCGCTGCTATTGCGATTTCTAAGAAAATGGGGTCGGTTACTTGTCAAGCCGAATTTGTGCTGCTTTTTGTGGTATTGGACCATCTACATTATGACAAATAAACACTATTTATAATACTTGGTAAGAATGTAAAGTGAAATTTGTACCGTTTTAAAAATGGTAGTGTATTTTTCTTTAGGGTGCAATAAAGTAATCCTTTCTTTTCATTCTCACAAGCACTGTCGCATGTCTCATACTAAATGTGTAACTACACCTTGTGGATCAGCGAATATTTTCAATACTTCCTAACTTTAGGGTGGGTGATATTTAAAAAAAAATTGCGGGAATGAACGATCAGCCACGGTCGACATCAGAAATATGAAAGAATACTAATTAGCAAACTAATTACATAGCATTTACTAACCAACCTTTAAATCGTGAAAATAAATATTTGGTTCCAATTGGTAAGCGTCATCGAAAACTCTAAATCAGTCAACTATTGCATGACTTGTATCTCGCGCAAATCACGGGGGTCCGCCAAAGTTAGCACTTGTGTGGCAGACGGAATGCCAGCGATCCAAAAGCGCGGATAAGAATATCATCTACATTTTCTTATGGCCGGTCTTCCGCCTGCTTCACGAGCGGTAACTTTACAGCACCCCCGCGCTCCCACACGTGCATCCAGTCGTACTAAAACTGACTAATTTAGTGATTTTCTACGACACTTATCATGTTTGTAATTGGAACCATGTGTTCATTTTAACTAAATAAAAAGTAAATGAGTAAGTTTTAGGTAATTGGTTGGCTAATTTGGAATTTGTTTCTATAATTACTGACGTTTGTCGTAGCTGGCATTTTGTACCCAAAGAGATTTTTTTTTGAACCACCCTATTTTTATGAATATGATTTTTGTTTATAGGAACACCCCGTATATCTAGAAGAAAAATCGCACAGGCCTTTGTTTTGTAACCATTTTCTCTGTTTGTAAAGAAAGGTTCACATAGTGTTAATGCAATCCACTTTGAACTAGATATCTTTCTCGTGATATCCCCCCTTTCTTTCCACCGGTGAGGAAGTCGTCACTTTTCTTCTGATCAAACGTAGTAGGCATTATCCTGGCACTGGACCCTCTGGGAGACAGGGTGGAAAGTTTGGGCCGGAGCCACGAGGGAGGGAGTCCCAACTTTCCTTTGTCCCGGCTGTCCCCAGTTGTGTCAGTTAACTGTACGTCATTCATTTCTCCCTAGATAATTTCCACTAGTCTTTTCATCCCCTCTTTGTTATTAAAGTACACTTATCATCCATTCTTCCACTCTCATCAGCAAACCCTAGCGCTCCGGCTCAATTCGCCGCCCCCTATGGAAGGGCGGAAGCAAGCCCTGTGCACCTCAACACCCCCTGTCCTATTGTCTCGCCTTCCCCTTGGCATACGGCTCACCACGTATTCATTTCCTCATACTTTGTCCTATATCCCCTAGGCCTCAATGCTCCTATTTCAGTGTCAAATAACAACGAGTTCCCCCGTGAATTCTCACACCTATGTTTCTTCTTTGTTCCTGTTTTCGTCTCGTATACGTAGTTAAAGCTGACTTTTCCTGCATTTTTTGCTCCCACATCTCTCTCGGCTTTTCTTACATTATTTTTTGCAGTGACCATCTGTTCTGCCCCCACACTTGACTGTTGGTATTTGAATTTTAGAGTTCGGGTTCGGTTTATTGATATAGTGTTCAAACTTCATGTACAGTTCCTTATGTACATTTCATGGTGTATCCTCAATAGTGTACAGTCTTTATTCAAATTTCAACTTTCCGATAGCCTGTCTAGCCTCGAAAGATTCCCAGCCCATGTCTCCCTGCGCTCCTTCATTTGGCGTAGTCTCATACGCCCCCAGTGCCAGCCTGCCCAAGCTCCACTGCCGGGTCTCTATGCTCGACTGTACCTCAGCTAGGTTTCGTGCAAAACACCGCATTGCCAAAACTCTACCCCGGTACCATGACTCCTTTTCATATTCCCATAACAACCTCATATCTATTGTAACTCCATAGTGCCCTATGATTCATAATTCCTGCAGTCCTATTCCCGTTCTTTTAGCATATTTTCTTCCTGTTCTTCTAAGTATTGTTTTCTCTCATTCAGCCATATTTCTAAATATTTGTACTCCTCCAAGTGTTCAATAAAACGTCCTAAATTTTCGAAAGGTCCCCCTCTCCTCAACATAAACCATTACTCCCGAGTTGTCGCTACTTAATTTCAGGCCTAGAGAGTGTCCTTCCTCTCCACAGATATTATGCAGGTCCTGTAACGTATCCCTGATATCTGCTAACAGTACAACGTGTGCGTAGAACATTCCTCGTATAACTTGGTTTACTGTTTCCCCTTTCAACATATATGACATATTAAAATCTAAATTGCACTCTTCTAATACCTTTTCCATTCTACTCAGGTATATTATAAAAGTAGAGGTGATAGGGGAAAACCCTGCCTGATTCCTCCTTTTATTTCAGCCGGTTCTGTTATTTCTGCTTCCAAAGTTATAACAATCTTATTTGTGTTTACGTGTTGTAAAAGCCTAATCAATTGTCCATCTAAATCATACTCTCTCAACTGTACCCAGAGTTTTTCCCGACTCACATTTCGTACGCCACTTTAGTGTCTAAAGAAAATATCAATGACGATTTCCTTCTCATCCGTGCCACTTCTATATATTCAGTAATGATAAATAAGTTATCATCTACTCTTTTATCTCTTCGGAACCCGTTCTGCAGCTCACCTAAAATCTTTTTGGCCCATTCTTTTTTTTTTTTTTTGCTACATCCATTGCCGCTTTGTACAGGACCTAAGTTAGTTATTGGGCAGTATGATGTCACCCCATCCTTATTTCCCTTGCCTTTATAGAGCAATCGCACTCTGCTTAGTCCGCGATCATTGCGTACCTCTGCCCCACTTATTGTTTAATCAGTTGCCTATCTTAACTTTATTTTTCTTTTGGTTCCTAATGTCTTGACTAGTCTCATTCCTATGCTATCTGGGCCTGTTGCCATTTCAGCAGGTACCTTACTTTCTGCTCTGTGCCAATTTCTCGTGGTCGTCTCAGTTGTCTCGCTAGCGCTCTCGTCATGTGCAATGTTGCTGTTTGTGCTCTTTCCAATTTTGTTCGGTTGAAGCTCTGCGAATGTTGCCTCGACTGTCCGTCTAATAAATTCCCTTGCCTCCTCGCCCTCAACATTTTTCCTCTTGTGTGGTCAAAGAGCACTGAAACCCTTGTTTTTCTTCCCTGCGCATTAATGTGCTCTCAGAACCTTTTTGCTCCATTCCTATCATTTTGATCTACTTCCACCATACACTGCACTCCACCTCTATTAATCTTGGCCTGGATTAGAGCAGATGCCTCTCCTTTTCTTTTTTGAAAGGTATTCCACTTCCATGCTACCTCAGCGGGTGAGTACCCCTTTCCTTCGTCCATCTGTGTTCCCTTGAGGCCCCTTGTCGCCCTGCTATGGCCTCTTTAACTTCACAGACCTACTTTCTTTTCGGTGTGTGTTTCCTTCTCCTTTTTCCTTCTTGTTTGATTTTGAAGTTATCTGACTCTCCTTTAAATGTGTTTACTAAATCGTTATATGTCCATTCTCTTTCCAGTTGTCTAAAGTCTATAGTCTTAATTTGTTCTGATACTTCTTGTATGTATGAATCGTTTACGCTCAATATACACTTTTTCGTTCAAACATTTGTTTCTCTGGTTGCGCAGTTTCAAACTTAGTTTAAGTAGCTTATGATGGTTTTAGGTAGCATATATATATATATATATATAAAAAGTCACCGGAAAACTTTAAAGTGTGGCCCACTCAGGGTGTTAGTGACCTTAACCTCAACGTAAAGTTAAACTTAGTTCATTTTATTGAATGCCAATTTAATATATATACTTTGTATATATATATATATATAATCAATAAAATGTACTCCAAAACTGTTATCAAACTGAGATAAAAACATATATGGTATATATAAATAGGCACCTGAGCTTTTTTGGTCCTTGCATCCACTACATTGCTTAGCATTTAAATACGCGCACAAATAAGCAGAGACTTACCTCATTCTTTGTCTTCTGAATGTTCGGTTGTAAAACACTTACGTCGTGTTTGTGCCTTGCCCCAATATGGTACTGAAAAATAATAAATTGTAATTATAACGCGATCTACTGACGCATCTGTCGCGCTGTCTACCTTGATTGTGTGTGTGAATAATAGAAAACCGTACAGGAAATGCTTATTAACATTGAGCATATGATATCATCTAGATGCTGAAAATATATCAACGTCATATTGCCACGCGCGTAGCTGGCCAAGTAGGCAGCGCGCGCGTGGCCTAATGGTTCTCGCGCCTGCCTCCCACGCGAAAAGCCAGGTTTCGATTCCTGGGAGCGCCGCATCTTTTGTTATTCTTCCAATTTAGTTTTCTGGTAGATTCGAGAATAATTTGGCGTATTCGAAGTCCGAATGTTCTACGCATCGAACATTTTACGCCGATTATTCCAGAAGCTCACGCATGTACATAAGGGGCGCCGCGTGGCAAACCGGACTGAGTTTCGCCCCAGCGTTCGACTCTGCTGCTACGCCGACTTCGACGCCCGCGACGCTCTGCTATTATCTTTTGTACCCTCCTATTTTTGGCACAAGTTCGCCTCCATTAAACGTTCATTTCTTCCTGTTTATTTATTCATTTGTCATTCGTGACAATATGGTGTAGTAATAGTTGAATTCGCAAGAGAGAAGCGAAGATATAAGCACACTTTCCCAACGTGCAGTGAAGTGGTTTAATTTTTGCGTTTCGTTTTTTCAGTTGGCCTGTTGTGGAATATGTCGACGGCACACAGCCGAGATAGTGACAATGCCACTGAGATTACTCCGCTACTCTTTTATGGCTCATTGTGGGTCAAGCTTGAGGTACTCTTTTTGCTCGCACTTTTTAAATCGGGAGAAAAATGAATACACTGATCGTATAATATCTCAAAAATAATGAACGTGTCACAAGGTATTTAATTTGGTCTGGTCTCTAATATTAATTACAATCATGACTGCAAATGCAAAATGGCCCAAAAAAAGCGAGACTCAAAATTTTTTTATCAACGTATTTTAGTTAATTTGCGTTCCGATCATGATCCTTTAATTCGCCCTTAATATCCGCAATGAAGGCGGCATCCACATACCTGTAACCCTATATTTTTTTTTGTAAAAAGAATTGTTTTCATTATAAAAAAAGCACCCTGCATACCTGCAGGGTGCGTTAACCAAACTCTTTCCGTTTTACATGTCTATCTGACCCGTCAACACCGCGAATATGTTTTTTTTTTTCGTATGGCCCCTTTTCAGGCGACTTAAAAATAACGAAACTGAATCACAAAGTCTGCATATTCTCATTTTCTAAAGAGAAAAAACGTACTTTTTTTATAAATACTGAAATTTAACAAATTTTTCGAATACCTTTCGGGGGCGCTATTTATACCTAAATCTAAATTGGCTGCCGTGAAAACAGCGAATAAACATAACGCCAAAAGCAACATTCAAATTTTCCCGCTCTCTCTATTTGGATGACGTCACATGTTACATAACTTGCAAGTCGGCCAGGCAAACAACAACAAAAAAAAACAATTCCTGCATTTTCTTTTTTTTTTTTTTGCTTGCGTGGTTTTAATTATCATTCATTTCACGCCATTAAAATTGTTGTAACTTGACGGGAACAAGCTCTAACACCCCCGTATAACCGCACATTACATAATGCTTTCAGTGTTGCCAGTAAATCGTCCTATAGCTTCTCAGACCAAATTTGGTACATCAATAACTTTGCGGGAGAAGACATTAATGTGACTTGTAATTTTGGTTTCTAGCTCAGACGTGTCCATTAGTGTGTTAAAATATTTTTAGGCAAATCAGTGAATATCAAATTTTCAGTTTTGATAAATACAAAATCTTCAGCCGAATACTGGCTCTGTGGTATCAGCTGTTATTAATTTTGTGTAGTCGTTCTGCTGAAGTTCCTAGGTTGTATTGGGATTTCCTACCTCTATCACTCCCAGCGTCATTTCCTCCTCACAGATGGGGCAAAGTCCCGGCAGCTGAATTGCCACAAAGTTGGTGAATGGAGGAGCAGCCTTAAGCTGAAAAGATATATATATATATATATATATATATATATATATATATATATATATATATATATTACGTTTTATTCAGGAGTTTTGCTTATGTTGAATCAATTACAAGTAAAAATTGTACACGTTTTAGTCGCTATAACAAAGAACAAAGTAGGCAAGGTGTTGCGAAAATGGCACAGGCAATAAAAGCTACAGGCAACGAATATTACGCTTAGAAAATGCAATCAATATAGAGGGTGTTACACGAAAGGTGGGCAACGACAAATTCAATTTTGCAAAAACTACGTATCGCACCAAAAAAAAAAAAAAAAAAAGACGTATCGTGTTCGTTCTAGGCCAGGGGCCTATTTAGGAAAATTATTAAAGTTCAAGATAAATAAGTTGTCAATTGTTTCACCGTAATTAATTTTTAAAATATTGATTTTAAGGGCATGGTTTCATTTAGAATCTTGCTGAGCATCATCGAAAAACATTCAATCAACAAGTTGTAGAACGATAGAAGGTATTTGCGGTAATCTACGGCTTCCTGAAAAACCGCACAACTTTGACTGGTTTTTAATTTTCGGTTTGCAATCGGAGCGCTTCTCGACGCCGACGGCACCGCACCCCGTGGAAAAATAGTGCAACCAACCTCTGCTGCGTTGCGCGAGAAGAGCGGAGCAGAGGTTGGTTGCACTATTTCTCCACGAGGTACGGTGCCGTTGGTTCTGAGAAGTGCTACGACTGGAAACCGAAACTTAAAAACTACTCTAAGTTGTGAGGTTTTTCCAGACATGTACAAATTACGTACTCAGAAATGATAGTTAAGTTACTGAGTATTGACGCCAAAAGTAATTGGAGTAGAGGAGAAATTACGCATTTGTAATAGTAATTGAGTAAACTGCTAACTACTGCAAAAAAGTTGCGAGTTACTTTGAAGTTACTACGAAGTTACTTTTTTATATATTTGTGGTAGGAAAATGAACGGCAGTTTTGATCCACGAAAAACCCTGTGAGTCTATAATAAAGGCACTCATTTTATGGCTTGCGTTTTCACCAGAGTAGTTTATTCGCTCGCAGAAGCAATTGACTTTCAAGGTTCTTGATAGGAAAGTTGTCCCCTTTTCCTCCTAAAGACGTCCCCAGCCAAGCTAAAAAGACGTTCCACCGTTGCGCTGGATGGAGCGGCAGCGTTGAATTTGAAAAACAGGCTGTGCAGGGTCGGGTAAGCGACTGTCGGCATCTTTTGTGTCTATGACGAAACATGTGAGGTGTACCTCGGCCTGGAGGGTCTTTTATAACAAACTCCCCTCCTTTTTTATTTTTTCTTCGGAAAATTTAGATTGTTATGACTGGCCCCTGTTTATTCCCACGTCGTTTGAAGAGTACGCTGAGCGAGTGCACCTGACCGTCAAGGGTTGAATACTCGCGCCACGACTATGAGATCATCGAGCGGATTATCCCGAACTTTAATAATTTTCCTAAATAGGCTCCTGGCCTAGGACCAAAACGACGCAAGTCACTTTTAGGTGCGATGCGTAGTTTTCGCCATATCGAATTTGTCCACCTTTCGTGAAACAGCCTGCATAAAATAAGTGTGTATAAAAAGGAAGAGGTCTCAAAGTAGGTAACTGGCAACTTATTACCCAATCCGGAAATAATTACAAGATACGCTGATTATTTTAAAACATGATGCAAGCCTGTTTGTCAGACCGTTTTGTTTGATAGAGTGTGCACTCCCTATTATCTTGCAATTAAAATTTCAAGAAATCATTTTAAAATGCATGCTATGTTGTGAGCTACTGTATTTCATAGTCGTATATTCATGTGTTATAACTATTAGTAGTTAAAGAATGATTCTATAAAGGTATCATTTTACGTACAACTATTGACTCCAACAGCCGCAGGAAATTTCACATCCTTAGTTGTTTCCTCCAATTACAATGGACGGCACTCGCCTCAATCACGAAACAGTAAATGTGCTTTTAGAAAGTGCAATTCACAAATTTTACAGCTGATAAATTGAAAATGAACAGAGTTAAAACGCAATATTTCAGACGCACGATGCGAGTTTCTAACGTGCGACTAAATCTACCCACATATATACCAACTTATTTGTTTTTCAGAATATATTACCTTAATTTACTTGTTGATTGAGGTTCTTCTGCTGCTCGAGAAGGACATTATTGCGGGAGAGTGGTAAATGAACATGCTCGCAGGAGAAGAGTATGAGTTTTATTTCTACTAGCTGTGTTTTTCGAAACGATGCAGTCGCATTTTTACCAAGAAAGTGTTATTCTTTAAGATATAAGATATAAAATGCGATCATTATTTATACACCGTAAAGTCAGGTGTCGCCCTTCATCAATTCCTATTAAAAAAATTCGTGTAAAACATTCTAAAATACATTATATTGGTAAAAGTACAGAGTCATCGTGCGTGGTCGCAGGAGGGGTCTAGCACTCAGCTCCGCCACATCAGCCAAAACAGACTTTTTAGAGCGCAGCTCTTAGGCGCCCGTTTCTGTGTTGAGCGGCGCCGCCGTCGCCTTAACCGCGTGTTGCATTATGGGACGTTGACGTTTTATGTGACATCACGTGTGACGTCACGAGAATAAAATTTTCCCGTTAAATTTGGCGGAAAATTTCTCCGCTATATTCAGCGGAACATTTGTCCCGCTAAATTTAGCGGGGAAATTGACGTCACGTGACCTCAACACCTATTCAGTTTCCCTACTATATTTATCGGGGAAATTTTCACTAAATTTAGTGGGAAATTTACCGAAACTTTTACGCTAAATGGGAGGAAAGCAGGAGAGGAGGAGCGGAGGACTCGAAGGGGGAGTGTGGTGCATACCCTCCTCTCCGTAACCTCCCCTCCTCCTCCTCAAGGGTTGTGCTCTCATTCGGCTTTGCAGAGAATTGTAAACGTCTTTCAGTTTCTTTTCTTTTTTTTTAAACAAATACGGAATTTTGGGGTTCATATTTATGGTTACATAAAAAAAATAGTTGTTTACTTTTGTTAGGGTGGAAAGGAGACAAATGCATTCAAGAGACAGACATCTTCAAAATGTACGCATTTAGGAACAATATGGCGCGATATATTATGCATACAAAAACATTATCCTCGGAATTGGACGCTCTTTCTTGCGCTAAAAATCAAATAAAAGTGCTCACTTGTTCAGGGCTTGTGCTAACACCACATTTGAGGCAGTCATAACCTTCGCAATATTGCTTGCACTCCAGGCAGAGTTGATGCTTGTAGCAACGAAGATAGTATACTTCCTTTGGAATACAATTGCAATGATCACATTCGGCCATGTCTAGTACGCCATGTGAAGACCTCAGGTAACAACCTTCAAGCCACCAGAATCCTTTCAGTTCACGAAATTCTTTGTCCAGACTGAAAAAGAGAGGTTATACTTATTTAGCATTCTTAGAGATAAACACAAAACACTTCTAAAAAAATTATGATGCCTTGGTTGTGTGGCCTTAAGAGAACTTTGAATAACAGTAGACTTTAATATGAAGACGTTTGGGAACTAGTAATATTGCGGTCAACCAATATACTCACTCTTTGGAGTGTCATAGAAATATGGAGCAACAAAACGGCGGAAGTAAGAGTATTGATTTCATTCGACTTTTGTCGGTGACTCCGTGCACTAAAATAATTTAACGATTGGTGGAGCACCGTGTTTCGAGCAAAAGAAAGTTTTCGCTTTGCTTTTCAAAAATATGTACACCTTATATTTAATTCTTACCACGAGCTTGTCTAACCTTAAAACGTTGTATGTGCCATTTAAATGGTGTGTAATTCTGTTATAAGCAGACAGATTACGTCGCACACGAGCGCGTGCTTGCCGAGACGAGGGTTACCACCGGCGCACCGCCACGCCAACCACGATCGCACTCACCACGCCGTCGCGTCTCCTGCAAGAGGGACGGTCGTTGTCTGCAATACTTGGAGCGTCAAAATAAGATACTGCTGTACTTTGCTAAGCAAGCAGAGCCTACAAAGTTACTCAACTCTGAATGACCCTTAACCGCCGTATGTTCCTTCATTGAAAAGTTCTAAAAAATAATTACAATGCAGTTACTTAAGAAGACAATGAAGTGAAAAAAATATTATTTGTTTTGAAAATTGTTCTGCTAAATTTTTTTTGGCAATATTTACGCCATTAGACGCGATTTAGGGGGTAGTGCTGCCCTTGGCCCCGCCCCATGCTTCAAAACTAAGCACCCTTTCTCGGCTCTCATTGTTGGGAGAGATGATTGACGTATGAAATGTTCGTTGTAAATTTGTTTCTCTGCGCCGTAATAGTATTTATATCGACAATATATTTTATGTTTTAGAAACAAATAAACTAGATAAAGCCATTATTGTTTTCAAAAATATCCCGAGAGTATTTCTGCCTCGGCCGCTTCGGCTTCAAACGACAAGGAAGATGCCAGCGTTCGCTGCGTACACGCTCGTTGAGCTCGTTTATTTTTTTATGAGTGCGAGTCGTTCTGCGTTAACCGAGGTTCTTAGAGGAAGATCTTCTCAACCGACCTAGTTTGATGCAAACAACAGTCGGATGTGCACTCCTTCGGAAGCGCTGGGCGGGTGGGTGATTGGGTTTGTACTGGTACTATCACCTAGCGTCCCACGTCAACTATGTTGACTTATCTGGCTTAATTTGTTCCCTTGCGCGTGTTGGTGCTGAATAAAGATGTCGGTTCCCGTAAAAGCGGCCCCGCTACTCAGTGAATTGTGCAACCGTTCTGATTGGAACCACGGTTTAATAACCCAGGAGGTACCTACCGACAGAGATAATAATTTGCGACCCATGTGGCTGGAGGCAATCGGGCGTTATTTTGTCCATGTTCCCGTCACTTCACTTCGAAAAGCTGGTAGCTCATGTGTTCCAGCACACTTGGCCTACCAAAGCGAATATTTTTATGTCGCATGTTAATTGTGCGTCATGACGCTCACCTACCTTGCTCGCAAATGTCATGTGTAAAAAAAAAAATCAAGATCAGTAAAGCTGTCAAGACAAGGTATATATTTTGTTCGTTTGTTTAGTCCTCTCTGTTGTAGGTCTAAGTTTGATTAATACTCGTAGCGACTATGAAGTAGACTTCAGTGCGCTAGATTATAACTATTTCCATGGTGGTGAATCTGGTATCGGCATAATTCGGCTGGGGCTCGCGCGTCAGTTCAAGCGTACTCTGTGGCGTCGTGTTGTCGACGTCGTCGGTCCGTGCTTGGACACAACACTCTACAGGTCGCTTATTACCGCACATCGATTGACACAGATAGGCGCTTGTATTGAACCGCTGCGCGTGCATGATGGAAATCTAGAACGCCGCTTTCATGGTCGCGCCTACGGAAAGTTGTAGAAGTTTTAGACGGGGGCGGAATAGCAGACGGACGGAGGCGAAAACGGACGCCGACGCGCAGCTTTCTTGTCCGCGTCTCCCAGACACTGCAGACAAGGATAGACGCTGGTGAAATAGCAGACGATGCCAGTGGCAGCCGCGCGTGTGCTCGCACGACTAGCAGGTGGTGCCTAAAGTTGATGCACCGGATGTCGCGAAAGGGATGTACTAGGCTTCTTAGCGTGTACAGCCAAGCAGCCAAGCCAGTCCAATACTGATGGGCGGGGCTACTGATTTGTGGGCGGGGCTTAGAGCGGGCCGTAACCTCAAACTAAATTTCGACTAATGGCGCAAATATTGCTAAAAACAAATTAGTGGAAGAATTTAAAGCGCTTCAGGACGTTTAGATTTACTACGAGGGTCGGAACGAAGGCCTCCGATGTGTGGCTCGCAAGGAAAACTCGAAGGACAGGAATATCATCCGCATTTTCACATCACGAGCCTTGTGGCTGCTACAAGAGTAGAAACTTTAGTGGAAACCACGTTTTAGACGTGGTTCAAATCTACCTAAAATTGACTGAATTAGAGGTTTGCGATGACGTTGAGCAAGTTTCTAGTCTGAACCATATTCATTTGCCCTAATTAAAAATCCTATTAGAAACTTTCCGGTAATGAATATGCTGATGTGTTTTTTACAATTCCTGAAATCCACCGCGGCTAGCACTTTTGATCCCAAAAAGATATTTCTTTTTTCTTAACTTCCTCCTCCCTCCCTCCCTTCCCTTTTTGCTAGAAATTTTTAAAAATTCTTTCTTAAACACCCGGAATATTTGTGGAGTGTGTCGCTGTAATTCACATCCAAGCTCATTCAAAATTAGAGGCCATGGGGCATTCAAAATTAGAGGAAATCGATTTAGAGAACCTATATTATCCTGCCGCCCCTTCCAGAATCGCAACACATTTTCATCTTAAAACACGGTGAACATTGCAAGACGGCTTTCATGATTATTTTTTAATTCATATGAATTTCTTTAAATCTAAATATGCACGTACGACTTTACATAGTAGATGACGCAGATAGCCGAAAACTTTATTAAAAAATACGGGGCTGACTTTGTTTAGGTTTTCTGAGCAAAAGTTTTAAAGAGGAAGATAGAGGCATTCTGCTAACGTTTCTAGGCATTCCGAAAGTGTAGCTGGTGTAGCAATAAAGCCAAAAGGTTTGTTGAGCAATGAAAATTTTCTTTTTAGAAAAGAATTTTATCTTAAAATTATATAACTGAAGCGGTGGTAAATTCCAAATGTGTGCGCTAGGTTATGGCAAAATTAAGTGCTTCCAAGTTGTTCGTCCGCGGAGAATTGCGATATGCAGATTATTGCTTTGATAAAGAGTAGTTAAAAAAAGCGTTCATACTCCGCTTTCTCTTAGATCCGTGCAGGACAAAACGCTAGCAACAAGACAAACGCTAACGCACAGACACGCAATCTCACGACGCATATCTTCGCGCTTGATTGCATTATTTGGCAATAACACACGCGTAGACAGAGAAATCCTTTCCTTTTGTGTCGCCTTCTGAGGGTTTATTGGACCCCATTCGCTCGTAACGTTGATACTGCTCCGACATAAAGATGAAACAGAGCATCGTGCGACTATAGACCTTTGCAAAAATCGCCTTCTGCGCGCTGCCATCTTCGTCTGCTGGGTTGTGGGACGCTTTCTGAGCCTGCGCTGTTCATCTGGTGTGCGGTATATTGGACGCTGGGTGTGCGTCCTCTGCTCTGTGACAGAATAGAGAGTTCTAGTGTTGCGTATAGAAGGAAAGGGAAGTGCTGTGCTGTGCGTTTGCGTTAGCGTTGTCTGCTCTAGCCTGCGCTTGCGCGTCGTCGTCATTTGCCACTTCAAGACGCAGTTTGAAGCTCCGCGCACGCTCAGCGTGGAATACGCAACGATAACGCAAACGTCCAGTGCTTGTGCTTCCACGTATACGCAATACTAAAACTCGCTAATTTTTCGCCCAGGTGATAAGCGATGCAAAGGACCATACGCCGCTCCTTTCTGAGTTCAATCGCAGCCGACCTTACGATGTAGCCATTTAAGCAACGACAAAAGTGCTTCCTCACGGCACTGCTCGTCTATGCGTGTTAAGTATCACCGACTAAACCGAGCAGGCACAACGAAAGTGCCGTGATCCTCCACGTATTTTGTGCGGGACTGGTTCAGTCGGTGATACTTAATACGCGAAGACGAGGAGCTATTGATCTTTATTGTAGTAGGCTGGATCGCGGATCGGGAACCCGTTGGTGTCTCCACCGGCGGCCATTGCTTGACACCAGGCTATCCATGCAAGTCTATGGGAAAAACGCATAAAAGTAAAAATATTGAAGCATGAAGTACGCTGTACATGGAGGCGAGTGTTTGGAGATCGAATCGGTATTTATCAAACGTTCGAAGAACCTACGGCTGAGTTGGCAAGCTTGCTCTCCTAGTGAAGTAAGCAAAGGAACTTGCCGTCAATGAGAACGTGCTCGGAGAAGCATAGAAGTTGATGAATGACAAAGAAGTTCCATCTCGACAGCGGCTTTCCGGGAGTGAGCGAATTCCGCGTAACAAAGCCTTCGAGCTTGTCGTCTGCTAAACCCAACTCAACGAAACCGCCACCGACTCCGCGGTAACTCTAGGTAACTCTCGCCTCATTGAGCTGCACCACATCTATCGCGCAGCGGAGTGACTCTCGACCTCAAAATATTTATTTATAAGAACTGCGAGGGCTGTCAGTTTTAATGTTTGTACGCATGCTATTTGACGTGCTTATCGGAGAGCAGCTAAAACGTTTCAGTGCCGACAACTGCTTAGAAACGGGAGGAACAGCACTTTATCTCATTTTCCCTATAGAGTCCCATCCATTTGGTGGTGTCAATCAATGGCCGCCGGTGGCGACACTGGGCCCCAGCTGCCGAGGCTGCGGTCAGCGATCCAGCCTGCTACAATAGAAATCAGAGCGAGGAGCCCTTTAAGAACGCACTTCTGTCGCTTCATGATTAGATACATCAGATTGTGGCGTCGGATCCGGTCAGACAAAGTGAAAGAGTCTTGCCGTTTACCTTCGGAGGGCGAGGAGTATTACGACAAGATTTCTATTTTTGGGGAAGGAAACCACCCAGACATTATTATTGTCATTGACAGAGTAAGAACGCCAGGGCGTTTTGTTTTCGTTTTTTTTTTTCGAATGCTTGGCAGTCAGCACCCGCTAGTTGCCTTCCGTTGTGCTCCGGATGCGCGTCCACACTCGAAGTTAACGAAACGTCCAAGTGCCATCGAAGGTGAGACGCCCCAACTGGAAGCTGGACAACTGAAAGACCTGCATACCGTTCGAGTCCTGCCAGTGACAAGAGTGTAGAGCCGCAATCTGCGAGTGCTTGAAAATATACATCTTGCATCGCTTGCCAAGTTGTGTGCGGCAAAAAGGTGGTTTCGGTGAATTTGCTGTTCCCGTGGCTTCAGTCGTTCGTGGCGAAACCAAGGCATTTTTTTTTAATCATTCTGTAGAAAGATTCTCGCGCTTCGTCAGATTCTTTTCTCCATCTGGGTTTACCACTGAGAGGTTTAAAGAAAACAGTTTGAAATACGCGCAACAAAATTTTGCAAATTAAAACCACCGTTTGCAATTAAAGTTGTCAATTAAAACATGATATCGTCTTTAAATAAAAGCCGCCGCCCGTTTTTATGCACAATTCAGTGCCATTGATACATATAAGAACAGGATCCGGTCAGACCTCAGGTGCCATCCTGAGCTACACCCCAAGTTGAAAAGCAAACGAGAAGCAAACTATAGCCTACGGTTTCGACGCGGAGAGTTCTGCGGCGGTGTTCCGAATTATATTTTATGGTTTCTTTTTTTGATGATCACACCTGACTTGGCCGTCAATTTTTAATCTTAGGACTTGAGCTAGGACCAGTGCGCAATCTAGGGCAGATAAGACTGACTGACGCCTCACACCGACTCACTGTACAGGCAAAATACAGGGGTGAATCATTATTTTCAAATAAAATGTGTTATAGTTTAATGTATGTTTGAACGTTAAATAAGGTTCGAAACTATGATAAAAATACAAAATTTGTTAGACTACCTTGCTTGGTTTTTATTAGTAATATTACTTTCTTTTTATTTTTGTGTTGGCAATATATTTTTTTTGCGAAATAGACGAAATAAAAATACATTCGTCGCCTTTTCACTTCACAGTTTAACTGCAACTTCATCAACATTCGAACCCCTTGGGTTAACTCTAATATCTGAAGTTTTGTTCGGTGGGTTTGTTCCACTTTACTAAGAAAGTCCCAATCCCACAATTATTTTTTTAAGAGTTTTATTCTTGTACCGGCGGTTGGCTGTACTACGCCACCAAACGCCGTTCCCTTTCAAGTTGAACTCTAATAACTACTGCAAAAACCGCTGGCCGCCACGAACATATTCTTTAGTTGAACTTTATACACGGTGTTTTTACGTCGGTCCAGAATTAAAAAAAAAAAAAAAAAACTTGTGCTAACTTTCTTTTGTGTCTTTTTTTTTTGTAATCTTTTTGCCAAGCTGGTGGCTACGTCGAGTACCAGAAAATACGCGAAAATATTTAATTAGCTTTAATAACTAAACCTTTTCCAATACCTTTTAAATATTGATAAAAAAAGCTTGTAGCGGGAGCTCCGACGAAAGAAATGTCATCACTGTACGGATTTTCAAACCGAAAATGCTCAGGCAAACATCACCAGGCATCATCCACGAGCAAAGCCGGGTGCGATAACGCCACTCCATCCCGCTTAGTTTTGTTTTGAAGGTATGCAGTACAAGGGTGAAACATCTCGCCTCGAAGCGCCTCCTACAAACTTGTTTCATTAGAATTTAACTAACCGTTTAGACCCTTCTGATATCGACCATCAGTTCTATAAATACTTTATAGCTCCGAAAATAAAAATTGTGGATGTTATTGAAAGCATTCTAGTTTATAAGCTAATAACACTTTTCGCCTTCTTTCTTGTGACGCTCAGGGCTACCAATGGCTACGCAGAGCTCAAGCAATAATACCCTAAGTTCATTTTCTTAATTTCTGACCAGGGATGGGCAGTATTTCAAATACAACTATTTGAAATACGTATTTAAGATACTTTGTGTATTTTGGATTTGTATTTAATTACAAATTGGGTTATGCATTTGATGTGTATTTACATACTAAAACGTGGGTATTTCAAATACAATTGTAATTAAATATAATTTTGTGGGCGAAAATGCATCCCTCAAATTTATTGTCACGATAATTCTTGTTTTTATGCATGTGGTTGTAAGATATAGTCTCCATCCTTTATTCGGCCATGGGGCTTTTTTTCTTTTTCTACTCCGGCTTTATTTTAAAGGCACTGTCCAGAGCAGGAAGAAAACTATGTTCTGCACCGAATGCAGTGTCTCTCAATCAGGCACAAGTGTTTAGTGACTTTGTGATTACGGTGCTAGTCCATGGCAAGAATAGTGACGAAAGTGACGTTTACTGGCAGACTGGCTTAATAAGTGCCTGTGACAAGTTGTGATGCTTTTCAGCCTGATTTCCATCCATATTTTTGCTTGGAACATTCTAAATGCGCGGGTCGTCCAGATATTCGTAACTGATGCGAGTTGCAACAATAAACAATTCTCTAGCTAGTGCTGCACGTCTTGGTCGTCTCGATTCTTTGTTGGTCTATACCAAAATGTTATCGAAAAAAAAAAAAAAAAAAGCTGCTTGAAGCTTTGTACCTTTTTCACCTATTACGTCCAAGCTGATTACATTTTTTTTGTGATTATATTTCTATTACGTTACTAGAGGCTCGCACACTAACTCCCGAGTGTGCGATGCAAAATTCAAATGAGATACCCAGAAACCTGTTGCAGGTGCTCTGAAGTCGCTGACGCAATTTTCAGGAATGGATTTGGAAAAGTATTTTGAGGAGACCAAGTACAGTTGGTTGTATTTGTATCTTGTACTTAAACGCTTTTTTTGGAAATGTAATGAGATTTGTAATTATATACATTTTTGACGAAGTATTTTGTATTTGTATTTCGATACACATTTGCATGTATTTTGCCCATGCCTGTTTCTGGCCTACTAATAAATTCCGGTTACGCAACCGAAAGTATGTATAAAACCGTTACCCACCCTCATAAATCAATTCATACATCTGCCAAACAATGTCTTTACGCTGCCGCTGACTTAACTTTCGGTTATAATCAATTGCTTGCCTCGTATACACGAAATTAGTGACTCGCACTGAGTACTAATTCGCGTTTATACTACGTGAGCTCAAAAACTTGGTGCTCCAGATCGCTTTAACCTGGCAGGTCCTTTAGCCTTAACGCAGTAAAATATTATTCAGCCCATAGGTATATTCTTCAAATAATACATTAAGCCACCACCGTTTAACAAATTGAAGTTGCGATGTTTTACTTGAAAAACAAACAAAGCGTGTCTGGCACACCCTCCGCGGGCAACTACCGCCATAAAATTCGCCGCCGGCCAGTTGCGTACACCATATTCCAACGCGTATACAGAAAAAAGACCACAAGTTTCGCTCAAAATACAGCTGACTTCGCCAAGACATCAAACAACTGCCCCAGTGGGTGCCTTAAGAATCATCTAAATGCTGGGGAATCAACGTTCAATGTACAAAAGAGACAGAGACAGCAGCTTACTCGGCCTGTGGCCTCCCGTCCGCCATCTTGATGTTTGCGATCCCCCACGAAAATCCGACGGGCTCGATCGGTTCGCAGGCGTATCCCGGTTCCTCGTTCAGATTAACGCCGCATTGTCTCAGCAGAGCAGAGTTACCCGTGGCAACGTGATAACCGTATCCGTTGGAGCTGGCGTCGCCCGGCGGTGGAAAGATTAAGGCAGATTCAAATCAGAAAGAGATTATTTGAAAAGGATATTGATTCATAATGCTTCTTTTTTCTGTTTCTGCGTGTTGTGACAATGCGCAGATTTAAGGGACGGGGGGCGGCGAGCTTTTCCCCTAGGCTCGTCATAAACCAGCATTTTTGTTTTTTGTCGAAATGTTTCGTTTTTAGCGACATGGCAGGTATTAGGTGATCAACAAAGTTGTTTAACGCTTCGCCCGTGACGTGATCTCTATACAACCCTCCACCACCCCGCCCCTGTGAACTTTTACATGCACCTATTAGCCCGCTGTTGCGCCAATTAGACGACTTTTGTTACCCGACGGAGGCAGTATAGTTTGCCTAATCAGGTTCCTATTTTCGTACTCCTTACTCGGATACGTTCACTCTGAGAAATTCACAATCGCCGGCCACGTGTATACAAAATCTTGGCACGATACGTTAAGCAACCGATTTACGTGGTGCCATCAAAGGGCTAAAACGACTTCCTTCGACTCACCTCGCGTAACCAACTTCCAAGACATTGGCATCGAGTAGTGCGACAGGCTGGCTCCTTTGGCGCATTCTGTTGACACTTTGGTGATACCTCCGCTGCACGTTAGTAAGCTCAACGAACAATGCTTACGCTCTCTTTCACATTAAGTACGTCCACAGCCAACGCTGCGATCCGATGGACGCGATCAGGCAACCGCTAAAGTGCATCTTCACCCGGAGGTGAAGCCCAAAACTACCCATTCCCGTTTTAACCCGTCCCATTTCGACCCATTCCCGAATCGACCTTCCCGTTTGAACCCGTCACCTTTCAACCCATTCTCCAAGCGACCTTCCCGTTTGAACACGTCCCGTTTCGTCCCATTCCCGAAACGCCCGTCTCATTTGAACCCGTCCCGTTTCAACCGATACTCGAAAGACCCTTTGCGTTTGAACTCGTTCATTTTTAACCCATTTGTACAAGACTCTGTACATCACAACCTTTTCGTGAGAAGTCTAATGGTTCTAACGATGGTCTGCGCACCTTTCCTGCTTAAGAATATATGGTGCGAAATATTATTGCATGCTAATGTTTTCTAAAAATATGCACCTCTTTTAGGCACGCTTCGAAGTAATATATTATTTTTACTTCAACCACTTAAAGTGTTTTTACTTTTTTTAGCTCAGGATGATCCCCATAACGTGGAACCGCGAAACGGTCTATGTACACTCAGCGACACCGTTACTGCAAAGACGACCGTGTCGCATTTTTAGATTTTACTTCGAAACTGTATTAGCAGGCACCAAATTTTAGGGCTTAGGGTACAGGCCCAGATGAGCACTTTCAAAGCCAGTAATAGTTTGTATGGCAGCCTTTTAATTCTATGATATAAAGAGGAGCACCGCAGATCGCTTGTTCGCACTGCGTACAATAATGAAGTGTTGCATACACAAGCCCATTGGGTAAGCTAAAATTACCATCGCAATCGCGACGCTATTTTTAGGGCACCGAAAGTGCTTGCGTACGTTATTTTAAAGCCTCATATTAGTGATCTTGTTATTTTTGAGAGCGATAAATCAGGCAGGGTGACAGGCATATGATGGCGACTTTATTTTCTTTCACAATTTCAAACACTCAACATTCGCAGACACAGGAAAACATCATAGACCGGAAAATGCATTCACCATGTTGGGAAAGTCAAACAGAAGAGAAATCGTGTCATCAGAATGGCGACACTCCAGTTCTGATAGTTTGCGTTTCTTGCTGACCCACTTGTGCCCCCTGACCCACACGGCGCCACTACTTGCAAGCTGCTGCAAGGATACCCTTGTCAAAGCCTCATCCCGTATGATCAAATCGATGAAGCTGTAAATGTTCGGGTGAGCCCTCCCTGACACCGCGTTTATCTTACGGCACCATGTCTCCAAGGTTGTTTCGGGAGAGGTAGAAGTGAGGTGGAGCAAGGAGGCCAGACATTGGACACTTGAACCTAATCAAATGTTAACGAACAATACAAACGAACCGACCCAACTGATAACAAACGATAACCGAAGCGGGAAGGTTGTTTCGGAATAGGGCGAAATGGGGGGAAAGGGTGAAACGAGAAGGTCATTTTGAGCAGGGTCGAAACGTAAAGGTACAAACGGGAAGGTCGAAATGGGAATGGGTCGAAACGGGAACCACCCCTTCACGGCGCCCGTTGTCCCTGAGAGTTTGCTAACAGCGGCTCAAATAATCGCGCACGTAAAAAAGCTCATTATCAGACCACATTCACTCTGCGTGATTGGTCTAGCCGGTGATAGAGAGCTGACAAAGGGAACGAGCGTCGTGACGTTGCACTTCTGCCATTGCTTGATTGAATGGATGGATGAATGGGTGTTAATGGCTATACTCTTTCTAACGGGCGATAGCTTGCGCCACCTAGCCTAAGCCACAAAAAACACACTGTTAATGTTAATGGCTTCATCGGTGTCTTGACGTTGGCAGCAATCGGAGTTAGTGTGAATCTAAGTATGGGTTGGAAAGTTCCCTGAATTTAAACTGTGACGTTATCGCACCGCGGCCGAGTTCCGAAGCAGATCGAACGCGAGTAATGAGTCAGCGTCCAGCTGACACGGGTGTCGTAGGTAAGTTACTAAAAAATAGTGAAACAAAAATTATTCTCTTTACTTTCAAACAAAAGGAAAGCGTTAACGATTTGCGTTAACGATTTGCGTTACCTTCAAAGAAAAGAAAATGCAATATTTACAGGTAAGACGTAACTCAGGTTACTTTTGTGTCCCCGCGTATCTATGAATTGAAACCTTACTGTTTTCACGTTTCAGGTATGCGTGTAGGCTCTATATTGCAAAACGTAATATGTCCATTCAGATTATACTATAATTACCTGATCCTGTTTATGGTTCCCCCGAATTCTGGTAAGAAATAGCCAGAAATAAAAAGGCAAATTTAAATTACTCGGTGTTGATGTTATACTTTAATTTTGTTTGCAGAATATGTCATTAGGAACGTAAGAAATTTAATCGTTAGCCAAATCGATAACACAAGTACGTTATCTTTTACTGTTTGTAGAACCTAATGTGTACGTTAATACTTTACGGAAAAGGGCAAACATTACCATTACCACCATTATTGGTAACGCGTTATTGCGAACACTCCCTGGCACACGTGTTCAGCCAATTTTTTCACGCCCTCTTGGCGTAAGGCTCGGATCTAATTGCCGAGTTTCCGCGGTCATATCGAATCGAATCAAATCAAATCAGTTTATTTTCTGCCACAAAAATGCATTCGTGACAAGGGCGCTGGAAAAAAAGCTCCACGTTAGCAGCTTGACGAGTGACGAGTCCCAGCATTCCATGCACTCACATGTTACCATGGTGCATGGAGCGCGTCTCCAACTCGTGTGTTTAGTGTCCTAGGCTTCCCATACATCAAAAGTGGTCCCGAAGTGGCAACAAATGACGTCACAGAATCCGAAGTGTCATGCGGTTGCATGTCGCGATCCTGGCGTTTGGTCGTAGAAATGCTAACGAGAAGCTGCGAGTAACACAAGGGAACGCGAGTGTCGCCGTCTTCACGGCGTCCGAACTTCTGGCTGCCGAAGCATCCGTGGACTGATACACTGGAGAGCGACCTGCAGCAGAACAGGCATCTGCCACATACACCACAGCTGTTAGGACGCCACCAGGATGGCGACTGACGACAACATGACACTTCTATGACGTCGTCAAGCGGAAATCGAGGGACCTCTTTTTTCGGAGCGGTAAACGCAGCAGTCGGAGACGCGTTCTAGGCACCATAAAGTTACTAAGAAAAGAAGGGCGTGTACTGCTGGCTGTATACAGAATGTGCAGGCCACATAATTCCAGCCGCCATGCCAGGGAGACAAAAAATACTTCCGTTTCTCCTGTGTTTAACTTGTGTTTCTTCGGTGGGTGCGCGACGACTCTTGGTTGACTAGGAAGCGATTCTGTGACAATTACGCTCTAGAACTGTCACGAGTGAAGTTAGTTCGGTTCTCTCGAGACGAGGGACGCCGCCCACTTGCCGAGCGTGGGTCATCGCAGGACGACGACGACATTGGTAGAATGTGATAGCCTGCTTCGATGCGCTGCAGACAGATGGCGCCACGTGACAAGGGCGAAAATACGACGTCTCAGTCGACATATCTTCTTACAATGGGCCGTTACGATTACGACATGTACATAAAAAATCCACTGTGCACGATGATCTGGAAAAGAAACCTTGAATACCAAAGTAAGGAAGTCAAAACACTATAAAATTATGCATAGAGACCCAAGTGGCTTGAAAAGAGGTGTAATAAGAAACACTTTCGGAAGATTGTCTGCTGAAACAAAGATACGTCTCGGCGACGCCTGCGGGTTCCCGAGGGGAAACTCGGCGCGTATCTTCGGCGGCTTGGGGAGCCAGGTGCCCAAATTTGACGCCTTGCCGTTCTCGAAGCAGTGTAACGCGTTTAGGGATTTGTAAGATTAAAATCGCTCTCAGGTGCATGGACTAAGCTAACCGAATAGGTAGCCCTGAAGATGCGCCCACGATTCTTTAGGCAGCTTTGTTATTTGTTCGAGGAACAAGTTTTCTTTCTTTTCCCCCACGGGATCATGAAGGCATGTCGATCCCGTATAAGAGGTAAGGCCGTACGCACTCGAAGGGGAGGCTGTTAAAATACTGGCCGCTCACTGCGGACACTCAAAACAACTAGAAACAATAGTTAACTGGAAGCAGCATACTCCTCAAGGAAGTTCCGCCGTTATTTGTCTTTCTTTACCCGCGCACACCCTGTATACGGTTGGCTAAAAATATCCGTCCAACACACGTCGCTGGTACCATACGATGACTTCCAGTTAATTGTAAGTTCAAAGGACATACAAATTGCAAGAACTATATCACTTCGAAGCAATATCAGAGGCTGCGTGTGCACCCTCTGATATTGCTGGAAAACAAAAAGCTACAACACATGCTCAGCATCCGTTCTACAGCCAAGCAGACAAACATGACGGCTACAAGATGGCAAATATTGGAATGGTCTTTAGTTTTGTTGAAAATATCTAAAGCAGTTCGCGAGTTGTCGACCCGCTCAAAACTTACCTTACGTGTTTAGAAGTTACATTTTACTCTCACTTAAGACGAGTTAGTTATAAACCGACCTCCCGATTTCTTAAATGGTCCTTTTTATCATAAAGACTACACCAAGTGCCTTAAACTCCAACAACCGTTGGTATATGGAGTGGGAGTTGTTATACCTTTCCTGATTTCACTGCGGCTGATCCGAGTCGCGAAAGAGGCGGAAGGGGTAGTGCAAGCATTCTTCTGGATATCAAGCGAACCGCTGCTAGAGGAAGGCCTGCGCATGTGAAGAACCCTTCTTGAAAAAGGTCCATTGGGTGAGTTATAAACGGCATCACGAATGTTTACCGCACTAACGGGAAGCAAACTAATTTGCATATCTAATGTTGTCTTAACAAAAGGTACTCAGTCTTTCTGAACAAAACCATAAACCGCAAGCAACGTCGTGGAGCCTGATGGAAACTACGTATAGTAATTAACACTTGTACATATGTACTTTTCAAGACGCCTAGTTGATGCATTCTGGCCACTCGCATGCAGCCAAAAGAAGTATTGGCGTTGGAACGCTCGAAACACAGCATTTCAACACAAGACAGAATTGGAGACGGGAACAGGTCGGGAAGTGCCATTTATTCTTTGTCTGCATGACGCAGGCCGTTCAGCAGCCGTTCTAAAGGACCAAGGTACGTTTCGACTCGTTCGTTGAGCATCTCCACTCTCCTTCGGGTGACTGCTTCCTTTGAGATGCGACCGACTTTATCTTCTAGGTTCTGGTGAGAACGAAAAAAAGAGAACCCACGTAAGCGTATGTCATACTTTATCACCCAGCAATCATCACAGCTTCCAATATTTTATTCAAATAAATATATGGGGTTATATAAATTAAAAAAAAACAAAAAAAAACACGCGAAACACGACCCGAGAAAGAGTCTGTGGCAGCCGAGATTTTTTGGGTTTTTTTGTGAATATATAGGTCACTGATGTATGTCGCCATATACCCTTTTGAGCGTCGAGGATCTGTTTTCCGGATACCGACCGCAAATTTATTCTAGGAACCTTGTAGCGTGCCATGTGAAAAAAATTTTTGTATTAAAGACAAACTATTTTATAGGCAAAAAAGATGATTCATGTGTGCATTCCTCCAACCTAAAACATATTTTTTGTCTTGTACTTTTCATGAGAGGGTACTTTGCAGTGACACCTCGATATCCCAACCTGAGGTCACTCGTTCGAGTGACCCGACTCGTCCTTTGTTTATTCGAAACTGTAATTTCATCGTTTTCACTGTCGTTGAATACCGAGTTCGATAGCAATTCCTAGATCTAGTGTTCGCCACTGCACACGATGTTGAACGACATAGATTTGTCATTCTGTAACGAAGAAGCACACCGATATAGAACTCAGCTAAAGAAAAGAAACATATGCCACCAAAAAACTGACACCCGAAGATAAAACATTGTTTTCATCGGATGCTTCCACGTGCAAAAAAAAAAAAAAATACAACCACTCGGTGTGTGTGTGTGTGCGTGTGCGCGTGTGTGAGACAGAGAGAGAAAGTGAAAGAGAAAGGGGGGAGGGAAGGAGCGATCCTGAACTAAACACGAAAACGCACCCGAGTGTATTCAGGGGGCGTTAACCTAACCCGATCCGTCATATCTCTCATACCTTAATACTACCATTTTTGCCGGTGCATACATAGCTTTTATCATAAAATAAAACGAAACAAAGCTGAACGGACGACGGAAGGCATATAGTACACTCTAAGAAAAAAGATGGCCTCAAGGTACCAACGGCAGCATTTGGCCCTCTGAACTCCCCAGCTGGTCCCCGAAAGGACTCTCCGTTTCAAGCTCGGTGCCGTGCGGAAGAGCTGGGGACTAACTGCGCTTGACTGGGACTAACCGACAGGCACGCGCGAGCCAAAGCAGTCATTAATCCTCCTCAGACAGGGTGCATCTGTATGACTTAGTCCCTAAAGGTAAACTGAATGTTCACCAGAAGGACAGCTGATATTTCGCTTGTCTTGGGGATCGGCGCGACTGAGGCCAGCACGACTGAAAGTGTTGACCAAACTCGGACAAAACTTGAGAATTTTTTAATGTGCCACGATCATTCAGACATTACATGGTAGAGCTTCGCGCGTTGTTTGAATACGAGTTAAGGGGTGTGTTGACCCGACTTCACCCACCTATCTCGTCAGCGATGATGTGTTGATATTTGACAAGTCCCATGGACGCAATTTTCCCTCGCCAAATAATGAGCATTTATCGAAACGCAACACCTCCTGTCCTAACACGTTTTTTTCCTTTTTAAATGAAAACATTTAAGAGTTTGCTGAAGACGCGCTTTTAGCACTGGAGTCTCGCGGTCAGAGTAAATGGCCACCTCAAACGCTAAAGCAGATTTACTGAGAACAAATTGAGACTCGTTTCTGCGTCTCCCCGTGACCACCATTTCTGGGTAGTCCTATGATGAACTCAAAATCCGCAACGACACGCTTTATGCACGGCACGTTCCACTCAAAGAACACATTCAGGAGCAGTGTCCAGACGCCTTCATGCCATCGTCGTCCCTGTTTCAGATAACTTCCCAGATGAACAACGAAAAACGAACAGCGCCCGGAACGTCATCCAAGGCAACACTCTGCTGGTAACAAAGCGGACTTGGACTAAGAAACATAAAAGCACCCGAAATTTTTTTTAAAAAGTTGAGAAAAAAAGAAAAACGTGTTTGGTCGTAAGTCACTCGACCGGTGTGTTGAAAATAGCGACCTTCTCCAGTTGTTGTGACATTGCCGTGTCCGTGTGTTCTGTGTAATGGGGGGGGGGGGGGGGGGAGGCTTTCTGAAGCGCGCCCTTTTCCCCCCTCTCCCTCCACCAACCCCCTCCCCGCGTTCTCTCTTGTGCTCCTCGCTCACGCCGGGGTTCTGCAGGTCGGGCAGATAGGGTGCGTCAGAAAAATTGGAGATGAATCTTTGTTTGTTTAAAAATAACCAGTTTTTAGTAGGTTGAAACACAGCCTTCGCCAGAATCTGGTCGCCCTGTTTTTGCTCCCTGTGTTGCTTCTGATCATTGTGGGATCTGGTTGATATTGATATTATGTATTGCACTTGGGCGGTAGAAAGGCACAGGCGCGCTGGTATTGGGAGAAGGCTGACGCCTATGCAACTAGTTTGACCAAAACACCGACCCTAGCACTCTTGTAACATTAGTACATCTGTAAAAAAGATGGTGAGTAGAAAAAAGAAAGTAGGTAAATAAGCTAAGAGAAGAGCGTGGATAGTTTAAACACCGTTAAGCGCGATCCAAACCAACGCTTCTTTTTGCGCCTGTAGGTCGTGCGGCTGCGGATGTGACGCATTTTCGTGACGTCGCGCCGCTTCTTCGCTCCTTCCGGGCGCGCATAAAAAAGTTGGTTGATTTCAACTTCTTTCTCAACGCGCACAAAAACGCGCGGTGACGTAGTAGGACGCTCCTGTGTCCCGGCCAATCGGTGGAGGGCAAGCTAGTTCCGGCTCCGCGTTTCTCGCCGTCTGGCTGCCCTCTCCTCCCCCCCCTTTTATTCTCTTCCAACATGACAACGCGATCTCTCTCTCTCTCTTTCTCTCGCCGTCTGGCCGGCCAGTCTGTCGCAGTTGCACTTTGCTTGTGCGCTCGTGCCTGCGTGCGCGCGTGCGCGCTCGCCCGAAGTTTCGCCCGTCCAAACCAAAGCGCACGGTTCTGACTCAGAAACCGCGCCCGGAAACAGCAAAAACGCCACGAAATGCGTCATATCCGCAGCCGCACGACCTACAGGCGCAAAAAGAAGCGTTGGTTTGGATCGCGCTTTAGACGGGTCTCGGAAGGGCGTCTGAGTTACTGCTTTCGCCTCTTGAGGATCAGAGGTAATGTGGTCAGTGAGGTCTGGAGGCAGACCTCTCCAAAATGTTGCTGCCCTCAGCAGTTAGGTAGGACTCCCCATGCCGTAATGTACGGGACATCACAGGCTGGAGTCCACCTCTTCTGTTCATTCTGGGGGAATCAGAGTGTTCCTGTTGGTTTGGTGTCATGATCCTGCGGAGCAGTCGGGCACATGCCACTTGCTGTCACTGGTGCAGGTTCCTCCAGGCAGCAGTCTTTAGGAGGTCACTACAGGGTACTTGACTGTAGGGAAGTGAGAAAGACGGCGGGGCAACATTGCGGCGATAGTAAGTGTAGGCGGCATGCCGTTGCACGCCTTGTAGTGTGGTTTGCAGATATTTTTGCAGGGGGTACCACACTGCAGAGCAATACTACGGGTGCTTTAGCACTTGCGCGGTGTAAGGTGGTGGAAGGTGTTGGGTGTCATCCCTCGTGTGACTCGAGTGACGAAGTCCAGCATGCGTCTTGCTTTCGATGTGGACCTGGGGGGCAACGTTGAGACGGCTGTCAAGGACGAAACCAAGGAGGGTTGTGGAGGGCACGTAGTTTAGTGGTGAGCCACCCAGAGTTAAGCTCAAGGCTTGGCTTGGAGTTATGGAAGAGACCGTTATTGTAATTGCAACACTTTTAGAGCAGTTTGAACGGTAGTTTGTTTCCGGCCGACCAGTGAAAGCACTGGTCGAGGTCGTTGTGAAGGGCTTGGTAGGACCAGTCGGAGCAGATTGGCAGTAGAAGGGACAGGACATCAGCATAAATGCTTGGTGTGGAATTTAAAGGGCCTCCGACACGCCAAATAAAGTTTTTTTTTTGTTTTTCATGCTAGCCGTTAAAATGGTGTATCAGGGCATCACCAAAAAATTGTTTCACTTTGGTGTTGCGTAGTTTTTTGTTAAAAATAGAAATACACAGCCAATTCAAAGTGCCAGCCAGTGCCCTGTGAAGTAACAGTGTACCGCAAGATGTCGGGGTGGTCAGAAGGGAGGCATCACCGGAAGTCACGTGAGTTGTATCACTCCTCGTGCTTACCGCGACCGCGTGTTACATTTTTTAAAAATATTTTTGCTATTCTCCGCATCTCCGCGAGCATTCCAAGCAGACAAGGCTTTTTTATTTGCTTTTCATCGCCTAATGTTGCTGTAAATGTAGAAGAAGAGGAGTTAGTGAACCTAGTAAACAAGTTGTACTAATGTCCTAAACAAAACACGTACTTTATGCTCGACGTTTACTTGTACTTGGTACAGTCGCCAGTTTGTATTCTCTAGACGGCACGCATCTTCAGCTTGGAGAGTATCCGATGATTCGACGACCCCGGTGTTTGAACCTTCGGCAACGCGATCGGGCGTGTCCTATTCGAGCAATCCTAATTTCTGCGAGCGTTCTAAAATATTTTCTTCAAGAATCAATAGCTTGTATTCTGCTCTGTATGGCCCTGTACCATCAGACTGATGGCATGTGCTCGTACACTGGCTTGTACTCGCAACGCTTTTATTATTGACCTCCATCAAATCAATCCACTGACTCTTCGTCCTCAACTTTAACAGCACGCAAACTAACCAACGGTGCAGCGATAAAAAACTAGTGGAACTAAAACTTCGTTTTCTACGATGCTCGTAAAATAACAAATAACACGAATAACAACAAAAAAGAAAGAAGAAAAAAAAGAAAAAAGTTTTAGGCGCGGTCGCGGAGAGCACGAGGAGTGAAACTCATGTGACTTCCGGCGAACCTACTTTTAGTGACGTAGGTCGATGCCTCCCTTCTGACCGCCCCTACACCTTGCAGTACATTGTGACGTCACAGGGCACTGGCGGGCACTTTGAATTTTTTTTGGGCGTGTCAGAGGCCCTTAAGACTTTTGCAATGTCTTAAAT